TCGACGTCAGGCAGGCGACTGTCCAGTTGTCTGTGATGAGGCAAAACTTCAGGCCGATGAGGTACTGGCGAAATTTTTGGGTAATTGCCCAGTGGACAGCTATGCACTCCCACACATTGCTGTGAAGGGGTTGCTCGTGGGTCGAGAGTGTGCGGCTTGCATATTCAATTACGACTTCGCTTCCGTTCTGCATCTGCGTGAGTACAGCACCAAGGCCAGCCCCAGATGCATCGGTGGCAAGCGTAGTGGGTGCTGCGGGGTCGAAGTACGCCAAGGTTGGGGCTGAGGTGAGGCTGTGGCGAATTTTTTGGAAGGCAGATTCGCACGTGGGCGTCCACTCGAACAGTCCCGAACGGATGATCGACTGAAGTGGAGCGGTGACTTTGGCGAAATCCTTGATGAACCGACGATAAAATCCGGCTGTTTGGACCCATGACAGAACGGCTTTCGGAGTCTGAGGCATGGGGATCCGATTCAGGGCCTCCACTTTCGCGGGGTCCGGAAGCTTTCCTTGCGAAGACAGGATGAATCCCAATAATCTGATCGATTCGACTCCAAACTTGCACTTGGTGAGAGACACTTTGAGTCCGCTGTGCAATAGGAGGGTGAAAACTTCCGCAAGCAGATCCAAGAACTCGGCGAAGCTCGTTGCGAAAAGCAGGACATCGTCGAGGTAGACTCTTGCGCCGCATTTTAAATGACGTGGCTTGAGGCTTTCAAAGATGGTGTTCATTGTCCTCTGGAAGGTTGCAGGGGCATTTTTCAAGCCAAATGGCATTCTGGTCCACTTGTAGGCTCCCTGATGCGTCACAAAAGCGGTTTTGTCTTGATCCTGCGGGAGGAGGCCGATTTGCCAATAGGCACACTTGAGGTCTAGGGACGCGAACAAGCAACATCCGGCAACGTCGTTCATGAGATCATCTGCGAGGGGAAGGGGCTGGACGACGCTGATGGTCAGCTTGTTGAGCGGTATATAATTTACGCAAAGGCGTTTCTTGTTCTCGCGAGTCACGACAACAACGGGAAATCCCCATGGTCCAATCGACGGTACGATGATTCCCTTTTGAAGGAGCTGCGCTGTTTGCTCTTCAATGAACGAACGGTCGTCGGAAGTGCAACGATACGGCTGACGGCTGTAGGGCTGTGCACCTTGCACAAGGTCGATGGTATGCTCTACCTTGTCATAGAGCTCGAGGTGATGGTCACTGGTGGCGAAGAGTAGTGCGTGTCGCTCGAGAATGGCTTGAACTCGATTGCGTTCGTCGGGGAGCAGTTGCGTGCCGATTACCGCCGGCTGGGGCAGAATCGCACTGGTCTGTGGTTCTTGGCAAGGCGTAATGTGCATGGCAGTTAATCCTAACAGTGACCATGCTGGCTGTTCTACTGGGAAGATTGGGGAAGTCTGCAGTCCGTCAGGAGCACAGGGCATGCGAGACTTACTCAGGGCGGAGTTCTCGAGCAAGACTGCGTTGGCCATTCGCGGCAGTAGCCTTTCCTGGCAGTCGATGATGATGTTGTTGCCTGGGTGGCGAAGCTGCGATGGAAGTGGAGGGCGGACGAGCAGCTCCACTTGTGACGCACAGAACCAGTCCTCCCCCAAGATCAATGGCAAGGCGTTTTGGGGTAAAACTGCTGCTTCCACCAGTCCGGATATGGGTCCGACGGAGATGCGAATGCAAACGCAGCCAATCGGGGTCACAGAACCTCCTCCAACCACCACGAGCGGGGGTTTACTCCAGGGGAGCAAGTTCAGGTGGCTGACGAGACGCAAAGAAATTATGCTCATCTTCGAACCGCTGTCGGGAAATGCATCGACCGGGCCCACGCCAGCGACTGTGACGGGGACGATCATGCATGCGAATTTAGAGCCGGGGAGTTCTTCAGGGGAATAGGTGCTGAAGGCTGTGGCGTTAGGCTGTGTGCTTGGGGTGACCTGATTTGGGGTTCGTGATTTTCGAGGCAGGGGGCATTTGTTGGCGAGATGGCCAGGGTTTTGGCAGTTGTAACAAATGGCTGTTGCCAAGACCTGTCCTGAGCGAAAGGCTGGGGCTCCATTTCTCGCTTCAATGTCCCGATATCGAGCATTTTGTTGCTCAACTGGAAGCGTCGAGATTCGTTGCGGTCGCTGGGGCTGCGGGACTGACGATGTAGTAGTGCCGGGGCTTATTAGAGACGCGGGCGCGGAGGCGAAAGGCTGTGATGGGCGCGGTCGAGGCGAGGGCAGGTTTGGAGCGGCGGAAGCTCCGGGCGCAGGGGGCGTCGTAGGGCTTCGATTGTGATCCAGGGTGCGGTCAAGATCCGTGACGATGGTCATGAAGAGTGGCACGGTGCTTGGACGCTGAACCGCGATGGCGGTGGCGATTTGCCTATCGCGGAGACCCTGAATCACGTACTCGAGTCGCTGTTGGTCGGTTAGGGTGACGGGACACCTCGCGATGATCTTGAGCTTCGCGAGCGTGTAATTGACGAGGCTCTCCCCCTGTGCTTGTTGTCGAGCGGCCACCCGTGTCTGCCACTGAATGAGGGAAAGCTGTTCGCCGAATTGTGCCTGGAAGGCTTCTTTCCATTCGGGCCTGGTCTTGAATTGCTTCCCGGTTGTGACTTTGCAGTCGGCGGCTGGTCCTCGGAGTTTTCCCAGCGCGATGGCTAGCAGGGTGGAGGGCTCCCACGAGGCAAGTTGTTGGGTGCGCTCGAGGTCTTCCAGCCATCGGCGAGCGGAAATCCCTCCGTCTCCGCTGAACGTGGAGATCGTAGAAGACAAACCCGGAAGGGTTGTCACGTTTACGGATCTTGCCGGGATGTGGAGGCTTTGTTGTAGGTATGCAGTCAACAACTGCCTATTGAGGACGAGATCGGCTGTAAAGGTAGGCATGGTTGATGTGCCTGGCTGCCCCGCTGAAGTGGAGTCGGACGGAGGAACTCCATGGGCGTTGGCTTCGGGTAGTGGCTTTGTCTCGGCGATGTTGATTAGGAGACGCTCAATAATTTCCTCTTTGTTGCCAGTATTGTCCAATTGGCGTCGACCGAGTTCTTCACGGATGAGATCCGCCGTGAAGCCGGAGAGCTCTGCGGCAGTGGCTTCCTCCCAGTTGATGAGCGGCATGGCGGACGGGAGAAGAGGCGAACAGGGCGTTGGCTGATTGAGTCGAGTGGGAGAGTCGGCAAGTTTTAACTGCGAGAAAGACTTTTAAAAATACTTGAAAGCTAGTTTAAAGTTCTTGAGGTCGACTGCGCCAGATGTGAGGCATGGCAGGGCTGAGGCAGGGAGTAGAAGTGATAATTAGGGACTTTATTGAAGAGCTTAGAGGATTACATGTTAAGAGGGCTAGAGGCAAAGGCGGTCTGTCACACAAAGCGAAGTAAGCAATGGGCACGGCACTAGAACACAGCGAAGAAGGCGAGGGAGAGCTGTCTGGGAATGCGGAGGGGAGACACTTGAGATGGCGGTGGCGAGTGCGTACGGGTGAGAGGGAAAGGCTTGGGAAGCATAGTGTGTGCGGTGAGCTGGTGGTTTGGCGTTGCGGTCTTGCGGTGGGGAGACCGTGGGGCCCATCGAAGGGGGCTCGTGCTATACGACGTGGGCTCGCTCACAATAGACTGCTCCTTGATCCGCACATTGAGCTTCTCTAGAAGATGGGTCAAACCATAGCCTTCTTTTTACTCGCAAAGCCTGGCAGTTCGACGAAGGAGCCATAGAGTGCCCGGTCGCATGTTTGGAGCGCGAGAATCTGGTAGCACAGAGCATCAAATAGCTAATTCTTGGGGAGCCTGAACGTCAGCGCACAGCTTTTGCAGCGGCGAGGACCCGAGACACGCTTGTTCGCTTGGGAAAAGTGTGTTTTGGCGTCTCGCCGCGGCGAGGCACCAGTCACGTGGCTCTCCTCTCAAGCGTTGTTTTCTGCTCCACCTTTTCCATTTCGGCAACCGCTTCTTGTGGCGATCTGCCAGGCTTTGTAGTATGTAGGAGGCTATAGTCCCACGCCTGGGACGGGAAGCCGACACTGAGCGTCCGCACGTTGAGGCCGCTCGATACAAAATGGCCAAGCGGCTCCCCTGACGCATGCAACCGGAAGGGTGACGTAATCTCTCCCACTCACCCATTAACACAATTTTGATGGTGCCGTGCTTTCACAGGAAAGATTGGTGCAGACCTCGAAAGCCCCTTAAAAAAAGAAACGAGATTTCGTTCCTATTTCTTAGAAAGGTGTACAACACTGTCCGAAAGCAACCAAAGCTCCTCGCAACGAAGCATAACACATCATGACGCATACATAATGCACGCACGAAACATTTTATGCTCTCCTTATTTCTAAAAAATATGAGATGTCTGTATTAAAAAAAAAATGTGCCGGCATATTTTAGTTAACGAACAGAAAATTGGCATATACGGAAGGTGTTGTGGTCACACCAAGCACGGCTACCTCCACAGCTCAGGTGTCGTTGTCACCCAAAACGTGATAACCTTAACAGCGGGCATAGATGTCACCCCATGAACCACGAACTTCGCAGCGGGTGTAGAGGTCCTCCTAGTCATGATAGCTTAAAGGGATGCCGAACCAAAATCTGGATTCCACAAAACACGGTGGCAGAAGCGTGCAACGGGACGCTACAAACACCAAAAGATCACTCATACAGCGATATCTCGAACGGATGATCGTATTTTTCTAAAAAAAGGATGTGTATTTGAAAATATGTTGATGTCGTATCTCCGAGAAGAGTCGACAATGAAAGGAAACGGCCTCGCGTCTTCTCCGTCTCGCCGCCTTGAGGTGGCGAAGCGAAGAGAGGAAGAAAGAAGATAAGTTGACGTCACGCGCTTCGTCGGCCTATCCAATCTCGACCTCTCTTTCCAAATATACTGTCTTCCATTCGAGACATTGCCTTACGAGTGGTGCTGTAATAATTGTAGCGTCCCGCCTGCCGTTTGTGCAGTCCTGCATTGTTTTATGTAATGCAAACTTCGGTACACCATTCCTTTAAAAAGGAGGACATCTCTCCCTCCGCAGGTGGCTATCCTGGCCAAGGGCGTGATACAGTGCTACGGGTCGCCGGCCTTCCTGAAGAGAGCGTACGGCACCGTGTATCGGTGCCGCCTTATCCGGGAGTCGCCCGAGTGCAAGGCATCCGAAGTGGAAGCTCTGCTGCAGAGGTGCATGCCCACGGCGAAGCTGCTCTCCAAGGTGGCCAACGAAATGGTCTTCTCGCTGGGCAGCAAGAAGCTCGCCCACTTCGGCCACACCTTCCGCATGCTCAGGGAACAGGCCATTAAGCTGGGCATCGGCGACGTCGGCTTCCCTTGTCGGACCATTGAGGATGTCTTGCTCCGGGTCAGCTTCATGTCCGGGGAGACCATGGTGCCGCCCTCGGGGGTCGTCTACGACCCAAAGCTCAGTGAGTGCAATTGAAAATTGCAGCGAGGATGTTTTGAACAGAGTTAGGAGTTTTGGTACTGGTTGTACTTCGACATATGTACTTTGAGGTCTCGTTTGTTGCTTAAATTATACCACCCAGTCAGATACCCATTTTAATCTAGCTACGACGTTTTCTGGTACTTTGCTGGCAAGGGTAGAAGAACTGACATTCCTTAGTCTCACTGTGTTATATATTATTGAAATTAAAAACAACCTTTATATCGCTTGATTTATTGAATCGCTTTGTGTCTCAAACTTTCTTCTAAAGATGAATTTTTGAATTTGATTTTTATAATAAATGTAGCTTACCTACAACTTAAAAAAAAATATATTTTAAAGAAGTAATTTTACTCTATAAAAAAACAAGCATCAAGTAATGTAGAATCAGGTACATTTATCGAATGCACTTTTTGCTTTAAAGCGTGATGGCCACAATTACTTTGACCTGCTTTTACGTGCCAGCAGCGTGCACTTCACTTGGAGCAATGTTTGCACTACCGCGGCCGGTACAAGCCGCGTATTATGCGTGGCAATAAACAATATTAGACAATCACTCACGCTATTATCAACTCTCTCACTTAAACGGGGTTCCCCAAGTTTTTTTTTTTATATGGGACAGGATTCTTTTTTTTTTTTTTTTTTTTTGCTTTTTGACCCGCATAATATTATCATCTAAACGTGAGCAAGCAAGCATTGGCGCCAGAGGTGACTTGATCAATCCGACCTAGAAGACAAGGCCAGCGTCTTCCGTCTGCAAACTTCACGCCTGGTGGACAACGCAGCGCCGCCTTGCTTGCTCAGTGTTGCCACCAGCACGCATTGCAGCGTCTGATAACATACGCGACGCTAGAACGCAGCTACACTAATACAGACGCCTGTGCCGCCTAGCGGAGACTCTCGCCGAGGCTGGGCGCGTTTGTCGGTTAGGGCGGGTCGGTGATCCTGGTGGTCTTGACTTGACCCAATAATCTCCTCTCTTGCAGGCATCAAGGTACATTTGATGCGGAGCGACGGCGGGTGTGGAGCCCGCTGCCGAGGCTTCCTGTCCATTCTGCGCTACCGGATGAGGCACTTCCTCAGCTACAGCTGGTTCTACACGCTGCTGCTGGCCAGCGGCGCATTCCTCTTCCTCGTATTCTCCGATCGAGTGGCCAGCGTACGCCTGCCCCTTCCCAGGTCCATTGCTCCGATCCGCATGGACCAGCAGAACGACTTCAAGCACGGTACGCTGTTGGAGGCCTGGGATTACGCCTAGATAAGGAAGCAGTGCTGCTCTATTTCCAGCGTCAGCTAGGAGTTGGCCCGGTACGGACTAATAGCCAACCGGCAACGGGCAGGCGGCGCCAGCAGCGTGAGAGCGCACGGTTATACCCTGCCTCGTTGTAACTTGGAAAAGGGTGAACGATAAGCCCCACATTGCGTGCCGAATGCTTTGTAATGCGCGACGTATACGAGCGCAACGCACATATATTGGAGCATGACGCAGCGAAAAGCCTGATACTTCTCCGGAGTTGAGGCGCGCTCCGGTGATACGCAGTCACGTTCCAATTGGCCCGCCAAGGCCGTAGCTTCCGCTCTACTCGCACCTTACGCGATCACGGCTTCCTGGGATACCCAGTATTTCTTGATTCAGACACTAGGCTCAGCGGCGCCACCAGAGTAATAGCTCCCGTTTGAACAATGAAGCCGCCACTCCCAGGGGTACCCAATATTTCTTGCTTCAGTCGCTGGATGGCGCCAAACCAAACAGCATTGCAGGTTGCCTATAAAGGGGCGCATGAAAAATTATCAGGCCACGAATGAACAAACTAAACATTTAATTTGGCGAACTTGTGCCGAAAACAAAAATACATAGATGTAGCATTGCAGGCCGGTGAAATAGCACGATTGAGCGCATGAGCGAGACTGACTTGTACGTCGTGGCGCATCTTTTTTTAACCTTTTCCTACCGAAAAAAATAAAAGAAACAGTATAAATTTTTGATAACTGGGCTATGGAAGAAAAACTCAAACTGACACTTGCTGGGAACCTGAAATCCAGTTTGCAGACAATTGCCTGCAAACTGGATTTCAGGTTTCCAACAAGGAATCCAGCTAAGTTCCCTGTTCCATAATCCAGTTAGCGAAAAGCTATACCGTTTCTTTCGGTAGGGTTCCTTTGGAGTCTAGAATATTCTGCTCCTCCTTCTCAAAGTATAGACCTTTGCATCGCTTATCGCCCCGTCAAAAAATGCTGAGTCAGTGAGCTGCGGATGCATGCGCAGCGTTTGATATACCGCAAAGCAGAGCAACAGCGCATGCTCAAAAGGCGTTCAGCAACCCAACAGACAAAGGTGGCAGCGCGCAGAAGACGATTTTCGCAAAGGTATATACATTCGGAGCATGAATAGGCTAGGGTATTCTATAACCTTCTCGAATCTTCTACTTTCATAAAGAAAAAAGAAAATGAAACGCAGTGCCAGGAATCGAACCAGAGCCACATGCGTGTGAGCCAAATGAACTGCTGACGCGGCTAAGCGTGCGGCAATATCAGGTGGTGATTGGCGACCGATGTGGTGCTCAATTCTTCTTTGTGTGAGGCTTCTGTGTAGTATAGTGTGACGTAGGCGGAGATTGGAGAGGTATTGATTTTTGCCGCGCTCTTTGGGACGTGTCTATTGTTGTTCATGTTCCGAGGAATAGGTACAACCGTTAGACTCGTGATGTAATCCCACGGTGGAGGGATGCCTGGGACCTCTTCAGGGGGAGGTGTAAGGCAACCCTGCTGCCTGAAGATCTCTCTTCCCTGCCTCGAGGTTAGTAGGCGGCTATGTCGGGATTGCCGTCGAATGTCGCACCGCTCCTCCAGCGTGTTAAACAAACCGGTTGCTTCCATACGGTAATTCGCTGAGAATCGTGGGATACTTAGTGCAAGCCTGTGGCCTTAGCGAGGAGCCGTTTCAAGTTTGGAAGTTTGGGTCTTAGTGAGTAAGATGCGTGGTAGCTGGCTCACAGTTCTGAAGGATACGGGAACGCGACAGAACAGCACGCGTCAAAACTGCACAACGACAGAAGAGTACGTGCAAAAAAAGCACAGCATCAAAACAGCACGTACGTAAGTGTCTGCTTGTTTTCGGTGTCGTTATATTTTGCTACCCGTTAAGTAATCTATTTCCGACTCCTAGGTATTTTGCCTTTTGAATTTTTTGCTCGTGAGCGACGTTATCAAAGGCCCCTTTGATGTCAAGTCTCACGATCGTCCGTAGCTAGGTGGAGCTTTCAGGGTCATATATGTAATCTTGAATGCGGAGCATGACATCGTGCGTGCAGATGTGGGGTCTGAAACCTATTATGGTGTGAGGCAAACATTCTTTCTTGTCGATGTGGCAAATCAGTCTTTCAAGAATAAATTTCTGCAAAATTTTGCCTATACAGGATGTTAGTGAGGCAGACCTGAGATTGCAGATTTCGTAGGGCGATTTACACGGTTTGAGGATCGGTACAATTCTGGCTATTTCCATTCGTGTAGAATTTCGCCAGTCTCCCAAGCGGCATTGATTATTTTTAATATGTGTTCAAGTTGGTTGTCCGGAAGGTTAAGGAGCATGTGGTAGTTAACACCGTCCTCTCCTGGGCCTGAGTGTCGTCTGATGTTCGCGAGAGTTTTGGTGAGCTCGTTCATCGTAAAAGGTGAGCTTATTCCTTCTACTTCGTCCCCTTCCCTGGGTGTTTGGTCTACTATATTTGTGGCGTCTTTAGACGCAAAGCTAAAGTAGATCTGGTTGATAAGTTCTCCCCCAATTTGTTCATTAGTGTTGCCTGTACGGAGTTGTACTATGGTTAAAGAGTATTTACGTTTAGGCCGTTTGAGGAGCGTGCGAATTATGTTCCATGCCCTTGCTGTGGGGAATTGATTGTTTAGGCTATCACATAGATCAAGCCAGTTGTTTGGCACGAGTATCTGTGCGTAGTTGTGAACTTCCTCGGTTATGTCTTCTTCGACGTTCTTGAATTTAAGATTTTTATTGTTCATACGCCATTTTTGAAAGATTTTATGTCTTTTAACCTATAGCGCCACGAGTGTGTGTCAATCTGAGGGATGTCTTCAGGGCCCGTTTGCTCGAAGCGCTAACCGCGGCTAAAGTTAGCCGCAGTACCTAGGAGAGGGATTTTGAAATCACGTGACTGGCTCGGTAGGGGTGCAGGGAAACATGGCGGTGCCCCAGTGAGTGAGCGCCGCTCGCTTTGGAAATAATATGTCGTTGTAGGTGTAATATCGAGCGCGTTAGTCAGCAACGAATGGTGCAGGAGGTTTTCGCTTTGCCTTATCTCATTTTAATTGAAAGCATGGGCGATGACATCGCCGCATTTTTCATATAGTGTTTCGAGTCTGGCCATTCGGAAGCCTAAATGAACGCGATAATTGTCGGCATGGCAACGTATTTGGAAAGTGGATTGTTGATAGCACCGAAAAGCAGATAGCGTCCCAACAGACTTTTTTCTAAATTATCCAAGCACCGAGGTGCATGCTACGAGTGTAGTTGCACGCGTCGCACGCGCTGGCGTCTGCAGTAGTAACAGTTCTACAGCAAAAAGTATAAAACAAATTTCGCCTTGCACGCGCGTTCGTTAAAGCCTTATTATGATTATTTACTTCGAATCTTTTATAAGAGGAAGACCAGCGCGCGTGGACCGTAGAATTACACTTCCAGCGTTCTCCTCGCGATGCTTGAATAATTTTGAAAAAAGTATGTTGGGACGCTGTCTGCTTTTGTGTGCTATCAATACCCGGCCGGTTGAGTCAAGGCAATCCGTTTTCCAAAGACGTTGCCATGCCGACAATTATAGCGTTCATTTAGGCTTAGGAATGGCCAGTATCGAAACACTATATGAAAAATGCGGCGATGTTATCGCCCATGCTTTGCAATTAGAGTGAGATAATGCAAAGCGAAAACCTCCTGCACCATTCGTTGCTGACTAACGCGCTCGATATTGCAGCTACAACGACATATTAGTTCCAAAGCGAGCGGCGCTCACTCACTAGGGCACCGCCATGTTTCCCCGCATCCCTACCGAGCCAGTCACGTGATTTCAAAATCCCTCTCCTAGGTACTGCGGCTAACTTTAGCCGCGGTTAGCGCTTCGAGCAAACGGACCCAGATCTGCATATTGTTTTGTGTTATTGTCTCCGAATTGAACATGGCTAAAATTGTGCAGAAACAGAAAGAAACAGAGGAGAGAGAAGAGACAAGCTCAAACTCACAACTCGATGTATTGAAGGAAGACAAAGGATTAGCCCTCGGTATCAGCTCGAGCCGAGGCCACACTCGCACGTGGGCACCCGAGCACGCGGAGGACACACACCACCAACCAAATTCAAATTCAAATTCAAATTCGTTTATTTTTGCCACAAACGGTACATTTGTGACAGGGGCGCTGGAAAAAAAGCTGCAGGTCTGCAGCTTTTTTTCCACACTCAAACAAATGTAGAAAGGCGATTTTCTTGTCGGTTAAAGCCACAGAAGGATGGCTGACACAACGCTCGCCTAAGCGGATTATACTAAAAGCTTCGAAAATTTCCAGAGTGTGTTTCTTGGTGAATCTGCCAATTATCGAGATTTTTTTGTAAAGAAGGTGTACACTTACACGCTTGACAATGCAGGGGTAGGTGACCCCCACCGTGCGGAAGTGGTTAGCGGGACAGCACGGGAAATTGCTGCAAAATCTAATTAAATCACATGCATCACTTTTTTACTCCGTAATCTAGATGTTTTTTTTTTTTAAAGCTAATCGAACAGATCGAGCACAGGAACATCCAGTCTTAACTGGCATGCAACAGCCGAGGCCCGATGCTTCGAGATTTTTAGGCTTCGTGGTACTGGCGACGCCGTGGAGGGATGGGTTTTTTATTCGTATGTAGAATTTCGTGATAGTACCGGTAGCCGAGCGGCAAGCAAGATAAGAAAAAAAAAAAACCTCTTAAATTTTTACCACTAAAAATAATTACTGAGGTGTGTCACCGCACTCATGATTGGTGTACGACACCGCACTAAATAAGAATGTTACTGCCCCAAGAGCGGAAATATTGGCGACAGACGGGACTGTCTGCTACGCGAAATATGGTGAGGCGGAACGATAGCTTTTGCTTTCCCCCCGAAACAATAACGGCAGATATTATGTGAAAAACTAGATACCCTGCCGTTGTGTTAATTTTGGCCAGAGTTTCTCTGTACTTTAGCTGCTACGCGGTTTAAAACAATTCCGCACAAATTGCGTTTTGCTTTTGGAGTATCTAGATACCTTTATAAAAACAAACCGCAACATTAATACCTCGTTCACTCGTTTTACAGGTTTTTACCGGGCTGTGGACTCCTCTGCGGCGCTCGAGGAAGCGTTGAAAGTCAGGGCAGAACAGCAAGGCACTCAGCTGGTCAAAGTTCCGAGCGCCACGGACCATTCTTTGCAACGCGACGTCTCATCGGACTTCGGTATCGAACTAGGCACGCAGTCTCTCGTAGCTTGGTACAACGTGCGGGTCCGTCAGTCCGAGGTCCTGTCGCTTCTGCTGCTTCAGAATGCGGCGCTGCAACAGCTCACGGCCAGCGAGCACTACCAGATTCAAGCGTGGAGAGAATTCACGTCCAGTGGAGCCACCATCGGTCCCGCAAACGTCTTCAGCTGGCTCACTGATGTCGAGGTACTGAGAGGAGCGATCAAAGAGCTAGAGGTTACGACTCGGGAGCCTCCACTCCCGGTGGCACCCAAGTCTACTTTGTTGATTTATAGACCCTGGTGCCAGTTACTGACCACGGTAACCACACTGATCACCTCCAGTCAGGGCTAGTCCTTACTTGAGATTGACACGGGAATGTCTATAGGCGTTAAGGTATTTATTGTTAGATCTGCGTAGTTTCCGCGCTACTTCAGCTCTGAAGCCTGAGCCCCTGGCTCAGTCTTACGGTTTATTCCCACTCCCTTTGTGCCAAAAAGGTATCGAAAAAAGTTAAACACCCGCGAACCTAATTGCAACAACCTTGGAGCGCCGAAGAACCTGCGCTAGCTTTTATAATGTAGCACAGGACAATTCTCCCCGAGTGTGACTGTGGTCCCAAGAAGAGGGGGTCGCTTTGCCTTGTTCTTGAAACGACATCAACGGCTGTTCGCATCTAATGTTTACTGATACTTTAGCATCCTAGCCCTATAAACTCAACTTAGCACTTAGTTTATGTTGGCAGTGAATATTAGACGCGCGTGCTATGCATAGTTTCGGTATGGGCACCCCCCTTCCATTCCAATTTTATTTCGGGGAATCAGAGATTCCGACAATTGCGTTACCCTGAAATCCTCGGAATGAAGGCACTGGATCCATTTCCACTCCCGGAATAGCTGAACCCCACGGTTACATTCTTATAATTCCTAAACGTATAAAATGACCATTGACAGAAACATTGCGTGACTAAATAAAAGCAGCATAGGGCTGGTGATGTTATCAATCGCAGAGACCGACTGCCTCAAAGCACTAAATTTTACTAAGCCAAAGGGCAGTCACGCAAATCGTTTCGTGGCATTTGGTGTCATAAAATACACCAATCGCGTAATTAACCATAAAAAGCTTGACGTCGCAACAGACGCGAAAAAATTAAAACTGCCAAATGTCTTCGTAAACGGACCGCATATCCCTCTCAAATACATGTTTGGCATGCTTCTTTCATAAGGCTTTAGAAATATCTACTTTGTTCGTGGCTCAAGAGCTTCCTGCTTCGAATACTTGCACAACAGCGCCTTTAGTGCGCTGTTAGGAGCGACGCCGCGCGTATCTGAACCATATCTCCGCGCACTGCGGCAAGAGCAGAAAACCACAGTGCATCCATCTTGCAGCTCTGGTACGTCCCTTAAGACGCCTATTCCTCTTCCAAAGAATAGGCGTCGCAAGAATGACTGACTAGAATGTTCGGGAAAGAGCTAGGGCGAGACTGGCTAGACAAGGTCAATCTGGCCTCATTATCGATTACGCTCGAGGTAAGAGTGTACGCGAATCTTCTGTATGAACGGAGGAGCGTTTGTTCTCGGTCATGCGCGCAGCAATATGCACGTTAAGTGCCACAACTTTCTCACTCGCGGACCACTGTGTTATAGCGCAACGATTCTTTGGATCTTATGCTTCTCGAACGTTTTTTGGTGGGATGTTGAGCAAAACCTGTTACGTGATGAAGGCGACAAAGTATTGGTAAACCTTACAGACGGCGTTAAATCTACGGAAACGTACCAGAAAGAAACTTAACCTACCCTGAAAGGCATGAATGCACGATTAAAGGTCATCTCAAACTCGAGGAGTCTCTCCACGAGGTTCATACAAGTAAAATGAGGTAAACCGTACATGATGATTAAACCTGATACTGTGGTATGAAAAACGGAGCACTCGTGAAGGAAAAAGAAAAAAGGAACAGACAACGTCTCTCTTTTTTTCCTCCTTCACGAGTTTTTCGTTTTTCAAACCACAGCCTCAACTTTCAATCATCATCTATAACTAACATTAGCTCCCCTGGACATTAACCATTCTTCAAGGTAAACTGGCTTTTTCTCAACTTAATGTGAAGATGTGTGATATTTCTTCAGCCAAATGGAAGATTTCATGAAAGTCGTTGACAACCTGACTAAAGACACTCGCCGGAATAACTTGATAGTGAAAAGTTTATTTGAACAAAGTCTTGAAAGCTGGAATGACTACTCTGAAACAAGCAATAGACACAGTGGATAGTACCCCTTCGTCCTGCGGGGTGCTTGATTAGCGCGCGCAAGTCAGGATCGTCTCTTTGACGTCGAGCCACGTTGTCGGTGTTCATTGCGAATGGGAAGCTGTCGTCGTCGTCGTCGTCGTCGCTGCTACCGGGAGGTGTCTCGACAGTGGCTCTAGACACGCAGTTGGAATCGCTGTGCTTCCAGCCTGACTTGAAGACCACATGCATGTTGAACTCCTGCAGTCCGAGATTCCATCGAGCGAGGCGTCCTGAAGGGTCCTTTAGGTTTGCAATCCAGCAGAGCGAGTGGTGGTCTGTGGCAACGCGGAACGGGCTCTCGTATAAGTACGGACGAAACATTGGGATTGCCCAGACGACCGCAATGCATTCCTTTTCAGTAGTGGAGTAATTTATCTCCAATTAGGACAGTGTCCGAGTTGCTTAGTCGATGACTCGCTCGGTGCCTTCTTGCACTTGAACAAGTACCGCGTCCAATCCTGCGATAGTTGCGCCCGTATAAATCTTGGTTTCCGCATTTTGATCGAAGTGTCCAAGACCGGAGGAGTCAGTTATCGCATCAGCTCGTCGAATGCCTGCCGTCGCTCCTCGGTTCATTCAAACTTTGTGAGGTTTGTGAGTGATGCGGAAATCCTTGCGAAGTCGCGAACGAAGCGTCGATAGTAGGCAGAAGGTCCAAAGAATCTTCGCACGGCCTTCTTGTCTGTCGGCGGTGGAAATGCCGCGACGGCGCGAGTCTTCTCTAGGTCTCATCAAACGCCATCGCAGCTAACCACGTGGTTTAGAAACTTCAGTTAGGCATACGCAAACCGACACTTTGATGGCTCGACAGTGGGGCCGACGGTCTGTATGGCTTGGAGAACAGCTCTGAGTTGTCGCAAGTGCTGGTCGAAATCGCTTGAAAACACTACGACGTCGTCAAGGTAGACGAGACAGACCCTGCCATTTCAATTTCAGTCCAACAAGTCCGGTGTCCATGGCAAGCTCAAAAGTTTCTGGTGCCGTACATGGTCCAAAGGGCATCACCTTGAACTTGTATAGTCCGTCCGGCGTGACGAAGGCTGTCGTCTCTCGGTCCCGTTCGTGGAATTCAATCTGCCAGTAGCCATTCTTCAGGTCCACCGATAAAAGATATTGTGCGGGGCGCAGCCCGTCTAGCGTGTCGTATATGCGGAAGAGAGGGTAGATGTCTTTCTTCGCCACCGCGAACAGCTGCCGGTAGTCCACGCAGAACCTAAATGTTCCGTCAATCTTCTTAACCAGCACGACTGGAGGGGCCCACGGACTGCTGGAAGGCTGAACTAGGTCGTCGTTCAGCATTTTTTACAGTTGCTCCTGGATGATTTTCCTTTTTTGTTTTACCCAAAACGACGGCAGCTGAGTTACCTCCTCGCCGAATACGGCGACTGCTTCGCGACGTCGTCGAAGGTGCGACAAACCACTGTGGCGAAGCACCGCATCATTACCGAGGACGACGCGCCTCTGCGTGCGCCACGCAGAGGCGCGTCGTCCTCGGTAATGATGCGGTGCTTCGCCACAGTGGTTTGTCGCACCTTCGACGACGTCGCGAAGCAGTCGCCGTATTCGGCGAGGAGGTAACTCCGCTGCCGTCGTTTTGGGTCCGGAAGCTTAGGGCGAATGTCGAGCTGCACTGGCGACGTACAGTCTTGCTGAGGCGGCGAGGATTGGTCAGTAATCGCAGCGATTTCGGTGGAGTTTCGGAGTTACTCGACGTGGCCCATAGATGCACCGTTAGTGAGGTGTTGCGTTTCTTGTCGGAAGTTCGTCACGAAGAACACAGTGTGCCCATCCTGAAGTTTAGCTACTCCTCTTGCGAAGCCTATTGCTCTTCTGAGGAGCAATTGAATGTTACCGTCCAGAAAAACTTCGCTGCAGGAAGCTGCCTCGGTAACGACGGGTACAACAACACTTGATCGCGGAGGCAGGTTCACATGGTCGGCAGTGACTCGGACGGCGGCTGACGAAGTTTGGGGTTTCTCTAATGCGGAGCAGGTGTCCGCAGCGTCAGTCTGTTCTCTCGAAGGTTGATGACGGCTCCGTATTTACACAGAAAGTCTATGCTGAGAATGACAAAGTCCTGTAGAACATCGAATTCCACAGGACACGTCTCGCCGTGAATTTCGATGCCAGCAGTGCACTTTCCGACAGGCGTGAGGAGGTGTCCCCCAGCGGTTCACATCTGCGGCCCATCCCACAAGTTGTCACGTTTCGAAGGCGTCTAGAGAGCTTTCCGCTAAAGACTGAGTAGTCTGCTTCGGTGTCCACGAGGGCCGATGCGTCGTGACCGTCGATAATGGCGTCCCGCAGTGGTAGCACAACTGGCGACGATCGGCCGTCCTCCGCACGTCGATCTTTCTTGGCGCAGCTTGAATCTGGGCGGACGTGCGCCCGATCTTCCTGGCGTCGGGAATACTGCGGCGCTGGAGGTCCTTGTCGAGGAAACGCCATGTATGGAGGAGGGGTCGGTGGTGCTCATCGGGCCATTGCGGCGTAGCTCAATGCGAGCTCCTCCGGTGCTGCTACGGTGGCAGAAGCCTCTGGTTGGAACGCCCGCTGAACTTGCTCGCGGACAGCTTCGGCTATTGACAGTGTAACCGGCTGGTTGGCAGCAGGCACGAGCTTTCTGGGTACTTCTCGGACGACATCGCGAAGGATCTCGCGAATTCCAGTCCGGCTGGATCCGTGGTCAAATCCCGATGGCGAGGGGGCAGCTACGCAGGGGTGCTCTGGTAGTGGGTGTCCACTGTAAGGATGGCACGCTCCATGTTTGTCGCCTCGGTGACGAATTCCTGAGGGGTCGTCGGTGGGTGGCGTTCGAGTCCACCGAAGATGTCGTTCTTCAGGCCACGTATCAGAATTAGCAGCTTCTTTTCCTCGGTGGCCTGAGGGTTGGCGCGAGAACTCAGGCGCACGACGTCTTATACGAAGCTCGTGACTCTTTCATTGTGGTCTGGGTCCTCGATTGCAGCAGATCCTCGGCCCTCTCTCTTTGATGCTGACTGGCAAACGTACGCGTCAGCTTGTTTTTGCAAAGGTCCCACGAAGTCAGGGAGGCTTCGTGGTTTGCGAACCAGCGCATTGCAGTTCCTTCAAGTGAGAAATAGAGGTTGAGCAGGCACTGCTCGTTGGTCCACCCATTGTGGTGGGCAACGCATTCGTACTGGTCGATCCAGTCTTCGCCGTCTTCGTATTGTTCGGCGTAGAACAGAGCAGCCGAACGTGGTGAGACGGGCAGGTTAACGACGTTGGCGGCGGTCGGGGTCTGCGACTACTGGTGGTCCATCGTCGGCCTCGCTGGCTGGTTGGTCTTGGTTGGCAGAAGTCCGATTTCCGGGTGTAGGCCTAGGGGTGCTGCGACTTAATCGAGTCTCGGTAGTACCTTCGTTGGGTCTTCGTGGGCTTGGTGTCGGACTTGTAGAGCGGATCCTCACAGAACTACGCTGGAGGGACATGCGTTACCCTGCACCTTCACCAAAATGTCACGAATGACGACGTGACCAAACAAAGAATAACTGAGAAAATTGAAACGTTTAATTGTGCGAACTTGCGCCCAAAACAAAAAAAAAAAAAGGATAGAAGATAACAGCGGAGTGTCATAGGCGTCAAAGTCGGCGTAATACCAGGATAAAACGCTGGGGCAAGACTGACTCCGGCTTGCCACGCGGAGCACCTTTTGTGGCCGCGTAGATTTCACGAACATTCGCCCTAGAACGTTGGGGGTTAGAACATTCGTAACTTGATCAGACGATCAATTTCACGAATTGGCGAGAACGCCAAGTAGACAGAATAAATAAAATAACTTTCCGCTCTCTGGAATTGAACATAGATCCTCCGCGCGACAGCGAAGCATGGTAATCATTCGGCCAGGTACGCGCTCGCTCAGCGACGCGCGTGGTAATATTATCACAAAATGTTTTGACAAGATTTATTGAATCGTTTCTTTCTAACAGTCGTCTTGAATTATCTGGTAATATTAGTCGCACTGGTGTTTGTTATTTGATTGGGGTTTCATAGTGTTGTAAATCATCTTGATATGCTATCTCCCGCCGCCTGAGCCAAGCGTGTGACGTATCAACAACAGCAGCGTTATGTCTTTCCTCGCCGTTTCTCCCTTCCCAACTCCCTCTCTCTTGCTTGCGTTAAATACTCTGTTCACGGACGAATAAACGTTCTTTTCCAGTCCCCCAGCGCTGGTCTCGTCAGTCGTCCACGCACCGTATGTGCGCTTGCTACGTAGCAGTGGCGACGAGCAAGACAGGAACCCATGCACTAAAAGAAGATCACGGCGAGCAAAGCCATGGTACGGCCTTTCAAGAACCTGCAGCAATGACAACGCCAGCCTTGGCTCACCACCATCTTCCCGAGTATGACGGCGAAAGGGACAACTGGAGAGCGTACGTCATCAAGGCAGAAGCTTATTTCGAGGCAACGGGAGTTACCGACACAGCGAGAAAAAGGGCGTTGCTCGTAGCAGCGTTAAACACAAAGACTGTGCAGATCCTAGCGGGACGAGTCGCTCCGAAGAAACCCAACAGTCTGACCTACGAAGACGTAGTTGCAACACTGAATGAATATTTCGACCTAAAGCGCCACGAGATCACCGAAAGCTTCCGGTTCTTCAATCGATGTCAGCACGAAGGTGAGCCTTTACAACATTTCCTTGTCGACATCCGACGCATTGCAGACAACTGCAATTTCGGCAGCATGCTGGAACGAATGCTCCGCGACCGTATAGTCTGTGGCGTCAGATCAAAGGCCTTGCAAAAACAGCTTTTGGCAAAAGCAAACTTGACTTTGGAAGAGGCCGAAGCGATAGCACTATCAGCCGAAACGGCAGATGATGACGCAAATAAGATATCGGGCGATACAACCACCGTACTGAAGGTTGACGCGCAGCGCGTGTTGACGAACGAGCCGACTCTAAAATGCGGGCGTTGCGGAAGTAAGAAGCACAACAGCCACGCATGCCGCTGGGCCAAGAGCAGGTGCTATCACTGTGGTAGGCCGGGTCATCTTGCGAATATGTGCTCGAGCGACGCTCCGAGGAAACGCGAAACGGCGTCGACACAAGGCATGCGGGGACGAGCACTGGCGATGGCGGAAGACTGTGCGGAGGGGAACGTAGACGAAGCGATGCACCTCTGGACTTTGACTTCTTCTCGAAAGTGGCAATTAGAGCCCCCAATTCACAGGACATTCACGTGGTGCGGTGTCGACATGCCAATGCTGATAGACACGGGGTCGCCCGTCTGTGTTGTGCCCCGCGAAATTTATGAAAAGAACTGGGAGAGATGGCCGCCATTGCAACCTTCAGGTGTCAAGCTGTCCTGTTATCTTGGCAAGCTCCCCGTCCTAGGACAATTGGACATGAAGGTAGCCTACAAGGGTGCCGTAGCAGAGTGCCCCCTAATTGTATTGAATTGCCCCGGTCCTAGTCTATGCGGGCGGGATCTACTGTTTCAGCTGAGCAACGCAGGGTCACCTATTCTTCACACGACTGCGGAAGCCGGATCGCCAACGAGTCTCCCGGCCGCGGACGACATCGCCAACGAGTTTCAAGACGTCTTCAGTGCGGAACTCGGCTGCATCAGCGGTCCCCCTGTACACCTTCAACTCAAGGAGGGAGCTACACCAAAGTTCTGTAAGGCACGATCCATCCCTTTTGCTCTCCGTGATAAGGTTTCTCAAGAACTAGACAGACTGGTAGCAATTGGCGTGTTATCACCGGTTGCGCATGCGGAGTGGGCTACGCCCATTGTGCCTGTCTTAAAGAAAGATGGAACAGTTCGGATTTGCGTCGATTTCAAGATCACGTTAAATCCTGTATGCGAACTGGAGCAGTACCCATTGCCGGTGATTGACGACATGTTTGCGTGCCTAAACGGGGGAGAGTACTTCAGTACTCTCGATCTTCGTGACGCGTATAACCAAGTACCGCTTGACGAAGAATCACAGAAGCTATGCGTAATCAACACGCATCGAGGGCTATTTTGCTTCAAGAGGCTGCCTTTTGGCATAGCGTCTGCCCCAGCCATCTTTCAACGTAAAATCGAAACAGTCCTGCAGGGACTACCAGGCGTGCAAGCTTACCTCGATGATGTGCTGGTTGCGGAGCGACAAGGAAGTAACGATACTCTGCGAGCGGTACTGCAGCGTTTCCGCGAGCACGGTGTAAAACTCCGGCGAGACAAATGCAAATTTAGTCAGCCTTCAGTCACGTATTTATTGCACCAAATCGACAAAGACGGCCTACATCCCACTGAGAAACATGTGGAAGCAATCGCCCAGGCTCCTAACCCGACAAATGTGCAGGAACTTCGCTCGTTTTTGGGCATGCTGTCGTATTACTCCAAGTTCCTGCCGAATATGTCATCCGTGCTTGCACCCTTGTACCAGTTGCTGGGGAAAATGCGCGTTGGGTCTGGAGAGAAGCTCAGCAGGCCGCCTTTGCCAACGCAAAGCAGTGCTTACTTGCGGCAGGGGTACTCGTTCACTACGACCCCGCGAAACCATTGAAACTGGAGTGTGATGCTTCTCCGCATGGCATCGGTGCTGTGCTGTTTCATACGGTCGGAAAAGTAAACCGGCCCATTGGCTTCCGGTCGCGAACGCTGACCAGTGCCGAGCGGAATTACTCTCAGCTAGAACGTGAGGCCTTGGCTCTGGTTTTTGGGGTGTCGAAATTTCGCGACTATTTCTTAAACAGAGATTTCACCTTGGTCACAGATCATCAGCCGCTCCTGGGCCTGCTGAAAGCGGACAAGCCTACGCCGGCGTTGGCCGCAGCCCGAATACAGCGCTGGGCTCTCTACCTCGGTGGATTTCGCTACAAACTTCAGTATTCGCCCGGTAAGCTGCTACTAAACGCCGACCCACTCAGCCGGCTACCGCTGCACACTCCAGAACCACCAGCAAGGAGCGAACCCCCCGGGTATGTTCACGCGCTGGCAAGTTTCGATGATGGCACTGTGTATGTCGAGGAACTCAAACAGCTAACTGCGCAGGACGTGTTACTAACGAAGGTTGTGGAGTATACGAAGCACGGCTGGCCGACACATGTAAAGGACGCGGGATTGGCGCCATTCTCGGAACGCCGGTTGGAACTATCTGTGGCTCACGGGTTGGTATACTGGGGTCATCGAGTTGTTGTTCCCACACAAGCACGAGAACGGGTACTACACATGTTGCATGAAACGCATCAAGGGTCCTCGGCCATGAAGGCGGTTGCCAGATCGGCATTCTGGTGGCCGGGACTAGACCGAGAGATAGAACACCTCTCAGCGTCGTGCCACAATTGCGTTCAAAACCTGCCTATGCCGGCTTCTGTTCAACCCATCAGTTGGCCAGCCGTTAAGGAAAAATGGTCGAGGCTCCACGCCGATTTCGCCGGGCCGGTCGCAGGCAGCATGATACTGGTAGTCGTGGATGCTGCCACTAAGTGGATTGAAGCCGTGCCCATGAGGCAGGCAAGCACGTCATCCACGATTGCCAGCTTGCGCAGCATTTGTGCCAGATTCGGTGTTCCACGCACAATAGTTACGGACAACGGTACGCAGTTCACTAGCGAAGAATTCGCCATCTTTGCTAAGAACAATAACATCGCACACCTACGTACGGCTGTGTATCACCCACAGTCTAACGGACTTGCTGAACGAGCTGTTCGTACGATTAAGGAAGCGCTAAAGAAGATGAGCGAAGGCACACTTGAAGAGAAGCTAGTCAAAGTTCTTTTCAACTACAGGAGAACGCCGTGCCACGAGGGAAAATCCCCTTCCGAACTTCTATTCGGCTACTTGATCCGCTCGCGCTTGGACTCGCGTTTCCCGCCTTTCCCAGGGTCAACCCAGGAGACGGAAGAGTGGACACTGCCGCCCGACACAGCCATGTACGCCCGTAACTACGGCCAGGGGGAGAAATGGACACCAGGGAAAGTGCAGTCCACTACAGGGTCACGCATGGTCACCATACAAACGCCTACTGGGGTGGTTCGACGTCACATAGACCAAGTGCGTTCCAGGCCGAGCCCGGCATCCGCTCGGAGCGGCGTTCGAGACCAAGACGAGGGGAGCCCTTCGGCTGCAGCTGCGCCCGCACAGACCGACAACGAAGGCGATTTGAACGAGCAGCCTACAGACCAGGTGGCGCCGGCACAAGCGTCGCCGCCTATCCAGAAGGCGCAGGAACCCCCTCAAGCTTTGCGACGATCTACTCGGGAAAGGAAGCCTGTACAGCGTCTTCAATACTAAGGGAGGAGAAATGTTGTAAATCATCTTGATATGCTATCTCCCGCCGCCTGAGCCAGGCGTGTGACGTATCAACAACAGCAGCGTTATGTCTTTCCTCGCCCTTTCTCCCTTCCCAACTCCCTCTCTCTTGCTTGCGTTAAATACTCTGTTCACGGACGAATAAACGTTCTTTTCCAGTCCCCCAGCGCTGGTCTCGTCAGTCGTCCACGCACCGTATGTGCGCTTGCTACGTAGCACATAGCTTAAGGTCTGCCAAGGCCGAAATGCAAAGGTAGGTAGAAGGTTTAAAAAAAAGTGACACGAAAGCTGGTGATATGAAAAAACGATGAATATAACATGAGCATAATTGCGAACGGCATGGGCATACGTTAAAGTTTACATTAAAATCACGATAAGTGGATAACGTCGACGTTATTCAGGATGTTAAGAATACAGCTATGAGGAAACAGCGGCTCATCGCCAAGTAGCGTTACTGAGTGAAATTGGGTGAAACGATCAGGGTTATACTCAGAGAACTAAAGCAGCATGTTTAGAGGAATATTGCAGTACTCACACTCCGGGGCCGCCTCTCCGCACTGCACATTCACGTGGGTGAGACACATGTGACCGATTCGTAGCTTGCGCATGACCACCTCATAAAACTGCCCCATCCCGCGAACCCTCCGACTACCTCTTCAAGTGTTTTGGAGCATGCAGCTTGTTGCGTGTTTTATTGTTCCACTTCTATTTTCTTTTTGTTAGAATGCAACGCCTTAAAAGGTTTGATGGTATTCGCGAAGTTTTTTTATCAGGGCTCGGCGTCAATTGAAAGCCTTAAACCAATTAATCAGCACCCTTAAGCAAAATGAGGCGTTTTTATATTATAGGTCGGTTTAACTTTGAGGTATATATAACGCTAAAATAGATAAACCCTTCAATGTGCTTTTTTAGCTGGAGACAAACATGTCCAGTTAAGTACAGTCGAAGTACGGGCGGAGGCATAGCAAAAAGATTTTTTTATATATATATTCTCTGACGAGCCATGTTGTGCTATTATTCAACATACTATTTTGATATTCTCGGCTACACTAGACAGGTGCTCAAAAGAGGTCGAACCAGAACATGCACTTTATGTTTTTTTCGCATTAAGAAACGTGGAAGCCCTGCGATTGCTACCGCAATTCGCCGTTCTTCAGATTGACTGTGGAACTATAGAAAGACAGACTTATGCTCTTCCGTGGGCTAGTTAACACCGGGTTCGTCACCATTAAGCAGGCCGTCACTCGGCTGGCCCATAATGAAAGCTGGCGGCTTTGATGGGATTGAAAACGTCAGTGGTACCACATCGACGAAGGATTATGAAAACTGTGTTTTCTAATTGCCGCCTTGAGCAATCCCGGGGGGCTCCCGTTGAAGCCAGAAGATAAAGGGGAAAAGCCTTAAACCCCAACAGGAAAGCCATTGACTGGGTGCACAAGCAGTTTAATGAACGTCAAGCTGCGGGAATTTGTACCTTTTTCTCAGGAATCTACGCCAATCATAATGGCGTTGCTATTTGTGAGTTTGTTACCGACGAACAATGTGTCTGCCTTTTAGGAATAAACAACACGGCAATAAAAACATGCAAAAGGTAAGATTTTCACATAACTTGTCTTGATTTATTCCGTTTTATGTTGAACCAATTAACCAATTAAATAAAAACATCAATCGAACAATCAGCAAGTTAGATGATCAATCGCATAGTCCTGTATTTTATGTGTATCTACTTCTCTCCCAATATCAGAACTCGCAGCACAATCGACCTCTTAATTTCCTGAGATGTCCACTTTGACTTGGGACCAAAAAAAGAAATATGTATTTGTTCTTTTAAGAAGCAGCGATAATGGTATTTTGTGATTAAAGAACAAGTGAGTCTGTAGCCCGTTTCGATGATGCCAACGTTCTTACGGCCACAATCTCACCGAATGTGGCAGTTTAGGTACCTCTTTGCAGGTCATTACTCATCTTCTTTTGAATACTGTTTTGTGGGATTGATGTCGTTCGAAAAGCAATGCAATCCTCTTTCATTTGATTTTATGTATGTATTGGTTTATACTGTTCATGCACATTTGTAGCTTTGCGAATATGACGGCACGGACCTTCACTTGCTCCGCTGGTTCATATTTCATGAACGATCTATTAAAATAACACGGTTCCAAAAGAGCAGCTTTGTTAAGATGTTGTCGGAGCAGAATGTAACGCTACACTTTTTTTGGTATGTGCACCAGTTTTGTTCATCTCTCAAATAACGCCCTAAAATTGTAATTTTTCAGCACAAGTATGTTTTAATGAAATCCGCAAGGGCAATAAAATTAGCTGTAGATGTAGTGCATATAATTGGTAATATTCAGAAAAAAAAATATTGTTTTGTAAAATGTTTTCGTTTAGATATTCTATATCAAACATAGCACTTTTTTGTGCTTCGAGTCACGGTGCTTCAAATGCCGCTGAGGAAATAATTAAACTATGATGAAATCCTTCATAACATTTAGAACTACAGTGGTTGCCCAAGATGTGGACGATGGCTTTTTCCATTTTGAAAGTCATAACGCTTCAGGAGCCCTTCAAACTTACATGTTTTTGACGCATATCTTTTATAGGCATCAAACAACTTTATTGGCATCTAATAACATTTATTGTGCGGAATGTATATACATTGCGATGTATTAGATTTTTACAATGATCTTGCTTTGGTTTCTTGATAGGTGTAGAGCTTAGCCAATTTTAAAAACAATTAAAAACTGTTTTGGTGTTTTGTTGCGCTACCTGAAGGATGGCAGACAAAACTGTTTATTCCTAATGTTCAAGTAATTTTCGAGGGCGGTGTTGGCGTTTGTATTATCATCAGTATCCGTGTCTCTTTACCGTCACATTTAGAAAATATATTGGAAGATTTACTATCGACAAATGAATGGTTTAAGTACTGGGTCAGGTTAATAAATCTAAGATAAGTAATTACACAAGCATAGTGTGATATTTTGTGTTCATTATTCGATATGATTGAAATCAATAAGCAATAAAGACGAAAAGGAAAAGAATACACCCAATTTCGCTTCATGCCTAGAGCCACTAAATGAGCTGCGCTTAGAGTATCGGCACTCCGCAACCCAACATTGTTGTAGGCGCCGCCATTCTGGGTCATGTACAGAGCAAACGCAACTGCCGATCGTCATGATTCAAAAGTGCGACTTTCTCAGCATTAAATCCGGTGTTAGGAAGCTTACCCAATATTGCTTTGCCCTGTCGTGGACTGTTTAAACATTTTTGGAGGACGAAAAAGCGTTTTCAGTGGTTTTAGATAAAGCTTCAGATAACTGCAAACACGATTTTAAGCCACAATATGGCCAAGTGTCGTTACTCTGAAACCTAGCTTATTTAATGAAACTACTCATGTCCTTGTTCAAAGAGCTTGTAATTCCTGAAGGGGCCATGCCGTAAGCCCCGTAGGTTCCACAAGCCACTACCTTTTGACGCCTCCCTTTCCTCATTGTTCCCGCTAGTGCCACCGGTTCCCGCGAACCTTCTTTCCCCTGGCCGAAACTGCAACTAAATATGAATAATACACCATTATTATGGCTTATTTTGTTATGACCAACTACACATAATGAGAGGAGGAAGCTGCCGGGCAGGGAAAACGCGGGCTTTATGTGCGACCGTTCTAACCGTCTCAGAAGATAGAACACGCAAGCTTGCGCTGATTTCAAAAAGACCATCCAAAGAAAAGGGGCGGCACGCTGTGTTTTTTGTGATTGTGCGTCTAATTTATATGGTATATTTGAAGATCGACTATGAACGTCGATCGTCTCAATGTAATGTAACGTAGTAACATTATATAAATAATAAACATAATGAAGGACTGAGCGACTCTTTTTTTTTCAATTCTTGGATTGTAATACGGCGACAGCCTATTGTACTTACTGTTGATGAAGAGCAATATGAGGTGACGATGTAATGATTAAATGATGAGTCGACGACATTAGTGGATGTCGAACCACAACGCACAGTTCCAGACTTGTTTCAAGTATCGTATACCCAAAGACGTTTCTTCACCTACAACAGAATATGATAGAATCAATGAGGATGCTCCTTTACAACTGTACGTGGACCTGCATGGTGCAACAGTGCGGCTTATTCATTATCATGAAGAATGGATTTCTAGCAGCATCCCCTCATGGACTCCTTGGAACAAATGGCCTCGTTGAGGTGAAGTGTCTCCTTTCCAAAAGATTCTTGAAGCCTACTGAAACCGCAAAAGAGTATGAGGCGAAAAATAAGAAAAAGGAGCCTGGTGTGAAAGGTCCAAATCATCACCATAATTTCTACTAAGAAATACAAGGGCAGTTGCACAGTACACAAAGAAAGTTTTGTGATTTTGTTATATTTATTCTCAAGGCCATTGATATCAACGTATTCAGAGGTTTGACATCTTCTGGTCAACCAACATAGAGCCTTTTTCTAGTGAAGTTTTACATGGAAGGCCGGACTTTCGCTAAAATCCCTCACGTAGAAGAGCTGTCCGATCGAATAAACTGCCATTACTCCCGATCTGGGAATCTCTCGATCTTCGTTCGTGGGCCATAGTGTCATAAGTTCGAGGGGTGTGGCTTTTCCTCCGCCGAACATTGCTTCGGCGGGTGTTTTTCCCGTGGAAGATGAGACCGTCACGTTGCCGGGACAAGGACCTGGAAATTTTTCACTGAACTGCTTTCTCCGTAAGCTTCAAGAGGGCTTTCTTCGTTTCGCACACTATCTGTTCTGCTTGCCCGTTAGTTGCAGGATGGTATGGTGCATTAATGTGATGCCTGATGCCGTTTTTGTATTTTTTTTTCAAAAACCCTTTTATTTTATTTTAAACAAGATTCGGTGTGTTATCAGAGAAAAGTATTTTCGGTGGGGCAAAAGTAGCGAAAGGAGAGTGCAGAACGTCAATGACGCGTTTGGACGTCATGGCATGCATCGTGTAAACTTCCAATCACTTAGAGTACTCATCGACCATGACTCCACAAATGCGGATACGTTTCGCCACCCACCGAATTAATAGTGGATCGTTTCGGTTACTGTTCATGATGGCGCTGGACTCGAGGAAGACTTGAAGTGCTTCCGCAAAGTTAGCCCAGGTGCCAACACTGTTGTCGAAAGCGGTAAGTATTCAAAACGTCGACAACGCCGGTTGCCACGTGTTGTGCTTGACACTGGACATTTACCATTCGCTGACAAGAAACTTGCTTGTTCGTCTGCCACGAGTCGTTCAATATCAGGTCATCACCACAAGCCCATCTCCCGACAACATAGGTCTTCATTGTCCGCATTTCCATAGTTAGTAATAACGTGAACTTATAAATTCCCGAACGCTCATCACTTGCCGTCGTTAAACGCCGCTCATTCAAAGCGTCTTCATTGCAGATAAACGTCTTCCTATTTATTCTGATGCTTTTCATTATATTCCTCCTAAGCTGTACTTACAACATTATGTGCAGCGGCGTTTGTTTCCTGGGAACTATAATTTAACAACCTTTAAAACATCCTCCGGATCCCGTGAAACACAATATTTCGTGACGTCACTTTTCAATCGTCATTATAATGCTGAGGTAAGTAGCGTAAATGGCGAAGCAGTTTATTAGACGTCCGCTTCTACTGGTGTCTTGGAAGATTGAGTCTACTGAGCGCGCATTCCTGGAGAAGAATGTTTCAGTGACATAATATTGACACGTCAATCAACAATTGATTCCTCGTTGATAAGATTTATTTGGAAAGCCCGTGGCAAGCGCCGAATCACATGTCCATATCAGAGAATAATTACTGTCTAGCCTAACATTCTCGCAGACATAAGTTTGCTGGGCCACGTTGTTGAGCCAGCTGAACACAGCTGGCAGCGGCGCGAGCAAAGCCATGATGGGAACGTGATGGTGTTCGAGCCATCCCACCGTGAACCAGTATTTCGGCCACCCCACGGGTGCGTGTCGCCATCTATTGTTTGAACTAACGCCTTGTTCAAGATGGCTGCCGTGAGACCACAGCCTTAAGAAGCTCATTATATTGTGAAAACAACTGAGTAGCTAAGCTTTTCATTTACATAATCAGCAACAAACAGCAGACCATAGAGCATTGCCAGAATTATGGTAGCTGTAGAGTTGGTTTTGTTGATCTGCTTTACAGATGTTCCTATCATAACTTAGCCAACGACCGAGTACGTTTAGTTCCATCTTCATAAAGACCCTACTGAAAATATCACTTCAACCTTGATGTGTTATGGGCTCCACTTATTCCATTCAAACCCTTCAGCCAATAAAAACTCGCAGCCCTTCAAACCCTTTTAGCCCCTCATACCGTTCAAATTTTTTAAACCCACTCAGGACTTCAACCTTTTAGATGCACAAATGACTGTAAACAATGAACCAAAAATGCAGTTTTAAATATTATTATAAGTTTACTTCCGACTTGAGTTTTACATGCATCTTGTAATTTCAAAGTACGATAAGAATCAACGCGCACTCGAACCCGAGCGTAAAGCGATCAGACAAAATAAAGACATCCATGTTCTTTGTCGCAAAAACTTATATATTGAGGTGCTCAAAATGCCACTCGGTAAATTCCTGAGGTGTATGGTCATCCAACTATCACAACTATCACAATCAAGCAGGTACTCTACCCACACATATACCGATTCTCAATACGAAGTATTGCGAAAAAAAAAAACAAGACCAACGTTCGCCGCCGTTGAGAAACCCAGTGCACGATCACGGTGTTTCGCGGTGGTGCCGTCGCGGTGGCGTCTCCTGCGTCGTTTCGCTCCCTGTATGAGCGTCTGAAGACGGACGAACGAAGAGACAGAAGAAACAGAACACTGAAAGGCCTTCTTTTTGATCCGCACACTAAGTTGCTGTAGAACATAGGTCCCATGCGTGGGATATTGAAAGTCCACCAAGCGTTCAGTCGTTGCGGCCACCCGATACAAAATGGCCAAGCAACTTCCCGACCCATATACCCTGAAGGGTCACAGGATCCCTCCCACAGACGCGTTAAAACGATTTTGATGGGTGCCGTGCCTTCATGCTAAAAATTCGCACTGAGCACACATGCCTCTTAAATATCAATTACGGGTCATTTACACCATTTAGAAATTCTTAAAGGGTACGCCAGGCTCATTAGCTTAAGGTAATCTTCAGCCCCTAAAAATGTTTTGAAGAGTATGTCAAAACATTTCAGGAAATCCTGATGGGTATTATAGTCCCTTTTTCAATATGGGATCCTGATGATAGATCATACTGACCTTGGGACTGAAAATAAATTGCCACACTTTATTGAAAGTATCGATTTGAGAACGTTGTCTGAATCATACTGCAATGAAAGAGATGATAAACCCACGGGGCTATAGTGGCAAAGCATTGTGCAACTAAAGGTTTTGAATCTAGCCCCAAAGGTGTAGCTGAAATTATATTTCTTATTTCAAAGAAAAAGAAAACCGAGGCTTAATATTGGAATGCTCTCTCCAACCTGATGTTTTCAATGCCGTTAGGAACTGAACAATTTGAAAATAATATATAAAGCAAGTATTTATCGATTATTTTCAAATGACGTTCATTATCCTCGGCGTACAGAGTAGTACAGGAAAGAAGGGAAAAGCACCTGCGGCAAATTACAGTACTTAAAGGTCAATGGAGTCCAACATCTTCCAAACTTAAGTCCAGGATGAACCGTGCTTAGTGTTACCATTTTGAAGGTGATAACTATCGAATATGCAAAAGATACGTAATTGTTACTGTTTGTGGGGGGCTGATGATACTGATTTTATTGTTCATATGTAGTACTGATGGTGCTGATTTTTTTTTATTGCTCATAGATAGTGCTCAGTTCCAGGTTGCGTTTCGACTGCATTATTGCTGCTTTATGGTCAGTGAAATGCAGAGCTACTGGTTCTTCTAGCGGATCAGCTTCGATCCGCTACAAGCTGTGGTAACGCATCTCCACCGCTTAAGTCAACGGTCCATGTCAGAAAGAGAATGTGTGGCACGGATTGTGGTTATATACGTAGTTGAGCATTTTACCGCAGCGCCCTCTCGTCTATAAACGTTGAGTCAATGCATGCCAATTTACCGCGATTATATGCGCATTTGACCACAGCGCCCTCTCCTGTATAGATGTTGAGCGGCTACATGCCACGTTTCATCCATGACATCCCCAGCTCTTGACTTACTACCACATCTCAGATCCCCCCACTCGTACCGCAGTCGTGGCCGAGTGGTTAAGGCGATGGACTTGAAATCCATTGGGGTCTCCCCGCACATGTTCGAGTCCTGTCGACTGCGCGAACATTTTTTTCTCGTTTTTTTAAGAAGACAGATTGCATGGCAATCGATGTTAGCACGGACGCCGGACGGGCAAGGCTAGACCCTCAGGAGGTTCGCCCCTAAAAAAATATCTGTTTCGAAAAAGTAATACTCGGCCTATATCAATGTCTCGTCAATTTCCACTTTCTAATATACTTCCTTATGCAGGCTTGTCCGGTTTAAAAAGATGAGCACTGCAATCCTAAGAGAGCTATTCCAATAAAGTTGACCGCCGAAGAGAGGTTCAGACTCATTATTTGCATGCGCTTGGCCGACCCCTTTCAGGTGGTATCCACTTGTAGCTAACGTAGGATTTGCCCAAGTACCCGGATGCTCTGTTCAAAAGGGCCTGTATCAAAAGGGTACACTTATCGGACAGGTGTCCGTGTCTAACGGGTGCGTTTTATACGGGTGTAACCTAGACAGTGGAAAGTTTGTCAGCCCCTGAGGGTGTTTTCTCCGCTGTGAATTACATGCATTTACCAATGCTAGTCTGGGATCCCGAACTTGCTTCGCGCTGTGATACAGGACCACACGCTGATACGATGTTCATCCAGACAGGCAACTTGGTAGATATGACAAGTGCTGATTGTTGGGCAAGTTGGTATGGTACGTTAGAAAACATGATCGCGCTTTGAAGACAGGGACATAGGAAGAACAGACAGCACAAAACGCAAACTTTGAACTGATTTCTTTGCGCCTCTTAAGCCGAACAGTCTTATTTTTGTGCCTAGTGCTAGGCACAAAAATAAGACTGCTAGAGAGATTATGGAGGCTAACGCTATAAATAGTTCCGGCACGTGTTGTGTCATTGTTGCGTCAATTGACTTGGCGGATAAGGAGTTAGGGTACTTGCGGTCCGTGGCGTGGCCACGGATTGATTGAGATGTGGTGCGGTGACGCAGTGTGTTTCTACGCTGAAACTCTTGAATTAAATCACTTGAAAGTTAGCGCTCTGTGGTGTCTGTTCTTCCTATGTCCCTGTCTTCAAAGCGCAATCATGTTTTTTGGTAAATATAAACTAAATTGCCCTACCGCCCTTTTTTACTGGCTCAGCTGAAGATCGTCGGGGCCACCTTCGTGCCGCTGTCCTTGGGTCTGTTCACGGCGGCCGCGGCCATCTTCCCAGCCCAGGACGCGGCCGACGGGGGCCGCCTGCTGCAGCAGCTGTCCGGCCTTCCCGGCCCGCTCTACTGGCTTGCCAACATGTTCTGGGACTACGGCCTGGTGTACCACCTGTACCTCGTCCTGTTGTCGCCCATGGTGGCCATCTGGGGCTACGGGGACAGCGACGTCCAGTTCTGGCTCACGGTGGTGCTGCTCTTCCTCGCCTACGGCTGGGCTTCCATCCCGTTCGCTTACCTTGTCTCCAAGCTCTTCACGAGGCCCTCGCGCGCCTTCGCGGCAGCGGCCACTCTTAAGGGGCCTCTCGGTGGGTGTGCGAGCAACACGGTTTCGTGTACTGCGTGACCACGGGACTTTCTTGTACTCTGTCGGACCGTGTATTAACAGCCGAGTCTGTCTTGGGGTTCGAAGGCGCTTTCTCTGCTTACGGCTGTAAGCTTGCATTCGCAACAATATCGCCATTTTCAATATTCGGGGCTTTGACGTCAAATGTGGTATAGGCGGTAGTACAGATTTGGCGCGCCGGCGCCTTGGTGTGCTATGGTAGTATTCCCGCTTCTAGTTTAGCGGTACATTCCAGAGACAGGTGGTGATCAAGAGTTGCTGGCGGAACAAATAGGGACATTTTATAAAACATGCCATCTGTCAACATTTTCAACAAAACGGAAATAAATAGCTCCGCTCCCGATCCGCCGGTTTGAGCGAGGCAATCACACCGAGAGTGGAATGGTATAATAAATACCACTGTCAGGCTGTAAATGGCTTTGTTAATGTTGCAACCGGACGATTAGAAAGAAGAGAAGCGTCGGTAGCTCATGCGTTTCTGCATTTTTTATCAGTATGAAAAATGAACAGTAAAAAAAAAAGGTCATACCGACCGATTTGTCTAGCGGAATTGCCTTCGTATTCTTTGCTTCCTTAACATATGGTGCCGAAACCTGGGAGTTTTCCGCATTACAAGGGCCCAAGCTACACGCCGCAGGGAATTTCAATCCTGCAACTGCAACGGAATTCAGCAGTTCTTTGGCGGGAGCAGACCACTGGGAAAAGAACAGCGACGAAACCTTGGCAGGCGACCATACGGCCTCGTAAATACGAATAGTGAATTGAAAGGCTGAAGGCTAGGCGGTCGGCTCGGCGGGCACGGAACACTAGGATTAAGGACCACGCAATCGAATTCTACAGGATCCCAGCCCCGACCTAGCAAGAGTGCGTTCGATCAAGGACAGACTCGCTACCAGCAATGCAGAGCGTCGACTACTTGACGATGAGATAGAGCTGCTAATTCCTATCCAAGAACTGGAAAGTGAGTGCACCGTCACTGCAAAATACCAAGACGAAGCCCTCATGGCAATCAGCTGGTTGGAGAGCAAGATTGAATCCCTACAATCACAGAGAATAATAGCTTCGGCGGCGAGCACCGGAAACCAAACCGGCATTCAAGACAACTCAGCGAGACGTGAGCCAAAGCTTCCGAAGCTGGAGCTATCTACCTTTGATGGAGAACTAAGCAACTGGCTCACATTCTGGGAGCAGTTTGGTGGAGCCATCCATACCAATGCAACCTTAACAACCACAGATAAGTTCCACTACCTTCGTCGGTGTCTAACGGTAAATGCTGCTGCTGCGATAGCCGGGCTACCAACAAAAGAAATATGCAATGCCGAAGCGATCACCATTTTGCAAAAGAGGTTTGGAGACCAGAGGAGAATAGAGCGATAGCATCTGAATGCCCTCAGAAATCTACCGCACATTGCTTCAGCTAATGACGTGAGAGGGTTGAGAAACCTGCATGACACCACACAACTCAACGTTCGGTGTCTATACCCTTTGAATGTTCCCACGTCAAGGTTTTCAGTCATGCTCTGTGACATTCTTGTCAGGGCGTTACCTTACGAGGTTACAGTGGAGTATGACCGGCAAGTCAACAACACCGCTTTCACTAGCGCAGCTGCTCAAGACCAAGGAGACGGATCGGCGGCTGGAACTTCAAGGTCAGCGGATACTCCGTCGGAATCAGTGACCGAATTGAATGGAATGCTTCGCTTCATGCGCGTGAAAACAGAAAGCCGAGAAAGAAGTAGACTTGAGCACGCTCGAGGCAAACACGAGACAAAGGTAAAGTCGTTTGCATCAACATCAGCTCTTCATAACGCAACAAATGCTACACTTCCTCGGTGTTTTTTCTGCCATTCAAAGAAGCATTCCACGCAATTTTGTGATTGCAGCAAACAGAGAGAGAGGAAAACTTAAGGCTGTTATCATCAGACTCCAGATGTTTCCGATGCACATTGAAAGGGCACCGAGTACAAGATTGCAGAAAAAAAAAAAAAACCTCTGTTGCGGAATTTGCAGAGCCAGACATGCAACCACAATGTGCGATCCTGAGTTTGTTAGGCGGATGAAGGAACGTTCACTCCAAGGTAACGACACGATTTGCGTGTCTGCATCCAGCTCGGGCGCACGCTCAGAAACGAAGTTTAGTTATGGCATATGTCTCTAGACGTTCAAGGCATTTTTACTGACCAACGCTGGCAGCTGCTATGCAGCTATGTCAAGGGAATAATCGACGGTGGCAGCCAGCTCACATTTATAAAAGAAAAGGTAGCGCAACGCCTAGGGCCGAGGGTCCTGCGGAGAACCAATATAGCTCTCAACACTTTCGCCAGTAATGCTTCGAAGGTTTTAGAGCGGAGTCCCGTTGTGGAGGTAAAGCTCAAAATTCAATTTGACAATACAGAAATAACATTTGAAGCAATTTACATCCCGGTCATTTGCCAGGATCTATCTACGCCAAGAACTGATACCCTGTTTGTGCGATTTCTGCGAGAAAGCAGTAAGAATCTTTCAGACGACATGATTTTCCCAGGTGTAAAAACAGTTCCTGGAATAAGTCTGTTGATTGAATCCGACCAGTTGTAAAAGTTCTGCACAGGAGACGTGATCAGGTGCGCAGATGTGGATGGATTGGTAGCGATCAACCCAAAGATGGGTTGGGCACTGCAAGGTCCTGCAAGACAAGTGAGAAGGCCCCCATGCGATTCAAGTCTGATGATATCTGTCCTACAAGCGGAGACAAAGGAAACCCAAGTGGAAAAGACGCTACAGTCCTTCTGGGAGTTAGACAGAATGGGAGTTGTCGACAGTGAGCTCGGCGACACTGATGCAGACATAATTACACACTTTGAGCAAAACATCATTAAGAAAAGCGGACTATGGGAAGTGGCTCTGCCGTAGAAAGAAGACGCTGATAATATGCTGGCAAACAAGCGGGAAGTTGCCATTTTACGTCTAGGGAGCTTCTTGAGAACAATCTCACGAAAGGAGGGATTACTCAAGCGTTATGATGATGCAATGAGACAGTATTTGCGTGATGGGCAAGCAGAAGTGATCAAGGGCAGAAAGGAAAACGACAGCGCGGAGGTCATGTATTACATGCCGCATAAAGAAGTAATACGTGAAGATGCAACAAAAACAAAGTTAAGGATCGTCTTCGACGCATCTTCTCTTGCCAAAGGGTGCAGGTCGTTGAATGAGCGCCTAGTAACAGGACCCAACTTGAACCCTGAACTTCTGCAGGTCCTGCTTCGGTTTAGATGGTACTCAGTTGCAATGACCAACCGCCGAAAATGAGAAAGCGTTTTTACAAATTGCGAGCCGTGAAGAGGATCATGATTCTTGTAGACTCCTTTGGTTTGCTGAGGAGCCAAATTTCCCTTTCAACAAGGAATAAATTCAAGAGTGGAAGATGACTCGGGTTCCTTTCGCATCCACGTCTAGTCCATTCGTGCTCACAGCTACAAGACAACATCCCTTGAAGTTGGTCTGCGAAGACCCAGAATTAGCAGAGAAACTCAGAACACCTTTCTAGGTCGACGATCTACTGCTCGGAGCCGACGATATTGAGGATGCTGTGAGGCTCTACCACACTTCCAGGAACGTCATGAAGCAGGCAGGATTGACACTCCGGGAATGGACTGCGAACAACGAGCAACTGCAGGAGCAGTTCAATAAGGAAGAGCCAAAAATTATGACCGAAAAAAAAAGCCTCTCACCTTCACCAATATTCAAAGTACTTGGAATGATGTGGGATCACGAATAGGACTGCTTTATTTACGAAGTTGAAGCTTTGCTTAAATTTCTCTCAGCACATGTGGACACTAAACGGTTCATCCTCAAGGCAGCCTCAAGAATGTCTGATGCTCTTGGACTGATCGCGCCCTTCGTCCCAACAGCTAAGCTGCTATATCAGAAGCTATGGAGATTGGGAATCAGCTGGTATGAAGAACTCCCCGCTGATTCGATCATTGAATGGCGCGCTTGAGCGGCGGACCTTGCTCAACTGCACTCGTTAAGAATACCAAGACATGTCAAGCGAGGCATCAACAAGGTACAGCTACACGTCTTTGTAGATGCTAGTAAGAAAGCCTACGGATCTTGTGTGTACTTTGGAACAGCCGATCCAAGGAAAAACAGTTACCACGTTAGTTGTTGCGAAGAGAAGAGTGGCACCGATAAAACCTTTATCACTGCCTAGGTTGGAGCTGATGGGGGCAAATATTGAAACCAGACTCCTACGATACATAAAGCAGCCATATTATGACGTGGAACTTGATTACATTATGTGGACCGACTCAACGGTTGCCCTCAGTTGGGTGAGAGGAGTTCCAGAAAAATGGAAGCCATTTGTAAAAAAACAGGGTGGCAGAGATACGCGTCATGACATCCTCGGACCAATGGAGGCACTGCCCCGGTCAAGACAATCCGGCGGACCTCTTGACCAGAGGACTAGGCGTTCAGGAGATTCGTACTAACTCTCTTTTGTGGAAAGGGCTCCGTTGGCTCAGTAAAGAACCTTCAGAATGGCCTGAATCTTCAGTGTTCTGAAAAGACACTCTTCAACTCGAAGTAAAAGAAGAGACACATGCGCTGTTGGAGAAAGATCAAGAAGTTCCATCATTTTTCGACACCGGAAGTTACGAGAATTACCGGATGGTTCTAAGGATCACTGCCTGGGTCATTAGGTTCGCTAACAACGCTCAGAAGAGAAATGACAAAATACGAGGTGGATTAATTACAGCAGAGTTGGACAAAGCAGAGCAGTATTGGATCAGGCATATACAAAACGAGAAGTTTCAGACGGTTATAATGCTCCGCGAGAAAAATACGACGGATGTTAATCCAAGACTCGAAGAGTATCATCCTTTCATTGACGAAAACAAAATCCTGCGGGTCCGAGGACGACTGCAGAGGTTGAATGAAAGTCTCGATGTGAAACATCCAGTCCTATTACCGAACGACCATAACCTTGTCAAGCTAATTTTGATGCACGCTCATTGTAAGGTTATGCACGGGGGAGTAACAAGCACAATGTGTTACCTAGAGGTACTGGATAATACGTGCTAGGCACCTGACCGAGAAGGTAATAAAAAGTTCCCTCGTATGTTCATGGTTGAATGCCAACAGGAGGGCAACTGCTGTTGAGCAAGCTCCGCTACCGACAGATCGAATCAAGAAGGCAAAGCCGTTTGAGATAACCGGAGTCGACTTCGCGGGGCCGCTGTACGCAAAAAGAGACGACGGTAGCTGCAGCAAAGCGTAATCGTACTTTTCACATACGCCTTCACTCGAGCAGTTCACCTGGAGCTCTCAACGGGCCTCAGTGTGGAAGCTTTCTTGCTTGCATTCCGGCATCTTATAGTAAGAAGAGGAATACCACTGGACATATATTCTGATAATGCACTAGCCTTCAAGAGAGCATCAAAAGACATTAAGAAGGCATTGAGTGCGCTTGAGCAAGAAGTATTTAAATTATACATTGCAGAACACAGAATAAACTGGAAGTTCATTTTGGAGGCCGCTCCATGGTGGGGCGGGTGGTGGGAGGGGCTCGTTCGATCTGTTAAGACAGCACTTAAGAAAGTGTTGGGCAGAAGCAGCCTATGCTTCGAAGCACTGACGACTGTCCTTGCAGAGGTGGGAGCAATGGTAAACTCAAGACCACTGACATATCTCTACTCGGGAGTCGGAGAGCCATCAGTCATCAGGCCAGCACATTTCTCAATCAGGCAAAGTTTGACAGTTCTACCAGAAACAAACTTGTCTAACGACAGCCCAGGATGCGTGACAAAGAAGGAAACAGCTCGCCAGTTTCAGTATCGAAAAATAATCATAGAACATTTTTGGAAACGCTGGAGGTCTGAGTACCTGTTGGAGTTGCGGTCAGCTCATCGATATCCCGTCACCAATACTTGCTCCCTGAAAGTGGACGACCTAGTCATAGTGGAAAATAACCAAGCATCCAAGCTGTTTTGGGAACTGGGAAGAATCGTAGAGATGTACCCCGGAACTGACGGAACTTTTCGCGCCTGTCTCGTGAAAGAGCAAACAGAGAGACCCCCGCAGAAACTTTATTTGCTGGAAATTCGTCCAAGTCAACTTCAAGCTCGGGAAGATGTTGCAGCCGGACGATGAGAAAGAAGAGAAGCGGCGGGAGCTCATGTTTTTTGTGTTTTTTATCAGTTTGAAAAATGAGCAGTAAAGGAAAAGGTCGCACCGACCGATTTGTCTAGCGTAATTGCCTTTGTACTCCTTGGTTCTTCAACAGTTAACTCACTGGCTCGATTTTGCCGATCGCATCATAATGCCCGGACGTGACTGGGCCTAACATCGGATAAGTTCGCTGCCTTTGAGAAATTCAGGCATCACGTATAGTTGCAGTACGGTTCCAGTTGGCAAAATATTAATACACTCTGAGCTCAAAGCTTCCTTCAAAATGACTGAAACGACACATGTGAGGATCAATAAAAGAGCAAAAAAAGAAGCGGGCACAACAGGAAGAAAGACACAGAGTCATCTCTGTCCCCGCGTACATGAACCGTATAGTAGAAAGTCCTGCACTATTACTGAATTTAAGTATTTTCTGCTCTGCACCATCATTGTCACTCCCCTTGAAACTTCGCGTATTCGTCATTTAGAAACGAACAGAACATATTTGTCGGTTAGCTTTGCTTGGGAGTCAGCGTTACTTCGGGTTGCTTTTACCTTGAGTAGAACATGAATATTTTATACGTGCTGTAAAACTAGATCTGTGCAACTTCTGCTGCTGGTCGTAGTGATGCCGGGTCATTTGTGCAAGACCAGCTGGAATCGCTGGTACATCAATCCCAAGCCACAAATGCTTGGGATTCCGAAGGTCGATTTTAAAGGGGACGCGCAGGATTATGGGCATCCCATGGTTCCCGGAGTTTATGCACGAGGAATTCGAGCTCGTCATGCGAAACCAACCCGGCATGTCGACATCCAGGTTGTATGGACATTGTCTTCGGGAGATCGCGTGACGCTTCGCTTGATGTAGGATGTTTTCCACACGGTGGACGGTAACGTCAGCTGTGTCATGTGCTGCCATATTGCGAGGGTGGTTTAGAGGGTGGTTTTTTGCGCCTTCTACGCTATCTATTGCTTGGTGCGCGAAGTCCTCAGCTCATACACCCGCTGCACTCCCTGTTAGTTAATTAGGAACCGCACCGTGACGTCGGGATCTAAGTTTCGCAATTCGGCATCCAGCTGAGCTAAGCAAGACTCACGGTCCACTGCTGTCGCAGAATCCATAAAGCAGTTGCTTTCGCTTCCTTTCGATTCCTAGTTCGCACCGAGCGAAGGCTTCGAGATGCAGATTGCATGGTTGGGTGTTCGATGTCCGGTGCGCCGCTTGGTAAATCACGCCGATTGTAATTATGTGTAATGATTTGTTACACAGTATGCTTTTATATGCTTTGTGCGCTGGTGCATTGCCTGCCATAGCCTGGTATGCTTTGCGACGCCTTGGCTAACATGTAATGTTCTAAGCTTTCGTGCGTAACGTGTGTCGCATGAGATACAAAGTTTTTTTGCTAAACATCTAGGTCAAAAGCGAAAAGCTGCATTTGTAGAGCTCAGGAAACAAGATTACGCCAAAAGCATCTGAAGCTGTTCACTTGAGAAATTCGGAGCTGTAAAATATTTTTTTGCCTTGCCAAAATAAAATCACGATACTGAGGGAACAGTAAAAAGCAACGGGATGCTTTCTACAACATGTTTCTTCTATAGTTGCCAAGTAACTCAGAATCCACCGGTAAATACTTGCAGCTAAAAATATAAAAACAAGAATATTTTTGGAATGAATTTGTGACACCTAAGTCGTACATAGGGAACTACACATAGTATGGATAATAGCAGTGTTGGCGCGAACGCGTTATAAGTAATGGCGTTATCGTAACGCTTTTTTTTTTCTGGTAACGAAGTAACGTTCTCGTTACTTTTTCAAATCAGTAGCAGGTAGCGTACTTACGTTACCTATTTCGAGTAACGTGTAATAAAATTACGTTACTCGCTACATATTCTTCCCAAGACTTAAAAGATTTCACTTCAATTTTTTCGCGTTTCTAAACACCAAGCCATATAAACATTTGGGTCTTTTGTAGTTTTCTTTGCGTTTTTCTCGTGAGTATTTAGGTGGAACCTTGAGAAAATAAGGTAATTATGTTCAGTTTCAGGATTTGCATAATGTTACTTGAAGTATGGCGCTTTGCATACCTGTGACGTCAAAAGTGTATAACGGATTAATTTGAAATTGATTCAAGTACAGCAAAAGTAACGCGAGTTACGTTTAAACGGTGACGGTAACGCGTTCCTCTTAGTTTGAGGCAACGCAAGCCGGTGACGCATTCCTTTTTTTTCGCAAGTAACGAGTGACCTATTTCGTTACTTTTTTTTCGGCAGCGCCTACAAAAATGGGTAATACATAGGTGACACGGAACCAATAGAGCTCGCAGCAGTAAATAAACAAAACAAGATGTAAACAGACAAACTCAAAATATCTAGGATTTTATAATGGAAAAGCTACTAATCAATCGTGCTGCAAGTTCAAATACGCGATAGATGCTATTGCAATAATCGTTATAGCTACTTTATATGTATCTCATGGCTGGTGTTAAATTCTTTCTATTGTGTGTGTTTGTGAAAATGCGCGCGTGGTGGTCCCACGTGAAAAAAGATAGCCTAGGACCAGACACCGATTAGATATTTTTTTCAGGCTGGGTGCTGTGTTTGTAATATCAAGATGACAGACAGCACGCCGCTGCCACGGGAACGTGGAAGTAACATTTTATTCCTACGTTCGTTAGAATTAAGTGAATTCCTACCGGGCAGCATTCACGTATTTCGGAGATTTTTGATGAAGAGACACTCGCTGGTCCAGTGGCAATTTCAATCCCCGGGTTTTGAAGTTCGGGGCTATCAAAGGTCACTGTAAGACAAACCGAGAAGCAAGCGTGTGTCGTCCATCGCAGCCATCTTGCTGGTCCTGTTCATGCTGATGCTGCACATGGCCTACTACGAGCAGGCTGAGAATGCTCCGAGCCGGGAACTACTGGAGGTCGGCATGACGTTGGCCCGCAGCCTCCCGCCCGTGGCCTTGTCCTGGGGCCTGACGCGGGCCATGTGGCTCACCTCCCTCAACGACATCTGCCACCTGGAGAACGACATGGACTTCATTCAGGTGCGCCCGGTAATACTCTGCGCCAAATTGGGCAAAAGCCTTACAATTAGGGAGTCACCCACGTATCACAACTATTAGAAGACATGTATTCAAAACAGTGAAAAATGCCTCTTGTGACTCAAGTAATAATCAATTTATTCAAGCTATAAATATTTTTTGTAAGTGATTTACAGGAAAAAATCTGACCCAATTTAAAGCGTTTTCCTATAGGTCTAATGAGAAAACCAGCGCGCGATGATAAAGACACAAAAATGGAACACTAAAAAGGCACACGCGTGCCGTGTTTGCTTTGCCCTAATCGATCGACTCTAAGAAAACCTTTGATTTGCACCGGAAATGCGTGAACAGCACACACACTAAGGTAAAAATTAAAGAACCCGCTTTCAACTGTCCAAAGGCGAATAAAAAAGTTAAACTGCCTGTACTCTTGCCTGCAGTAAACTGCGTTTAGATGAGCTGCGGCGAGATGAGACCGAGGTAGCCGCAACAACAGCATGTTGTAGTGGCCGTCAGTAGACGCCCTAAACCCTCGTCGAGATTAACCTTGAACGTTCGTGCGGAATGGACAAAACATATATTCAATTAACTTTAAATAACGCAGATTTTAAGGCAGGTGTGACCAGAAAAAATTCTGATAAAATGTTAAAATGACAAAAAAATAATCGCTAGTCTCGCTGCCGGCCATAACTTAATTACATTATTTCTTGATACGCTGGCATCCCTGTTTACGATGCGCAGGAATAATGAACTCAGACATTTAAATACGGAATTTTGAGGTAACGTGACGTTTGGCCAAAAAAGTTAATGAACCATTAAATTATATAAAAAGAATGACCTTGATAGTAAAAAAAAATCTTTAACGTCGGATATAACAAATATCAACGACGTTGGGAATCAAACACGGCGGTTGGGCGGTGCTGCTAATCAACCCCTGATCCGCTCCTGCACTGCGAAATTATACAATCTTAAGAGAACCTCAATGCGCGATCCAACGTCGTACTTGACGTTAAAGGGATACTGAAGCGAAACTTGAAATACGCCTATTCAGTTCAGAAATAGGTTCAATATGATCAATGATATCCGTAAATCATAATCGCGCGTTTGTATTTTGAACGGATGGCTATATTTTTCACCCTGAGGGGCCCGATTGGGCTCGCGCTCAAAAATCGGCCATCGGAGAGCGCGATGCGTCTTGGGATATTGGGCGCATTCGTGACGTCACTTGTGCCAGACGGGAAAGGCGACGGCGTGGATGTTGTGGTTACGAGCGTTGTCACTTTGTGGCGCGTCGACGACTTACGACCTGTGACAACGTGGCCGTTTGCGATGTGCAAGGGCTGCACGCACGCTGCACCACGGCAAGTCGGCAACCACGGCAAGTCGGCAACCACGGCAAGTCGGCAACCACGGCACCACTGACAAAACTAGCTCTGAGGCCGGATTCTCAAAGCGAACTCACGACGAAAAAAGTGCGTACGACAAATTTGAGAGGAAACCCGTATTCTCGAAACGAAATTGTCGTAACTTTTGCGCAGGTTACGACAGAATCCTACGACAGCTCCGAAGCTCTCGTAGGATTTTTACGATCAAACCAACATGGCCGACAGCGACGACCAGCGGACATTTATTTTTCTACGTGCTCTTCTCGTGCGTCGCGACTTCAAATAGCCAGAAAAAAAGGAAGGAGTACTTGAAACAGACCACGACGAACAAGAACGCAGGATCCACAAACACCCAAGAAGAGCTACAACGGCCACGATTCTACCGACCAAGCGAGCTCGGCAGAATATAGTAGGCCTAGCAGCAACACCGACTCGGCGCACCGTTGCTCCGGCGGTCCCTGGCCAAGACCGTCTGCCCATGACCGGCTGGCCTGCTGAAGGGAATATGCCCGCGCGACACTTGTGGACCCTTCCCGGATGAATAGTTTGATCTCTGAACTAAATTTCAGAGGTCAATCTTTTCCCCTTGTCATCTCGATCTCCTTGTTTTCCGAGACAGCGGTGACGAACGCTGTCGTCGAAAAGGAACTCTCATTGATTCTCTATCTTCTTGTTTTGTGTGATATAGAGGTCAAATAAACACCATACGGATTACCTTCGCAACACGGTATGTACACTTTGTTATTAGTATGCAATTTTTATTCTGACACGACGCTACGTCACTGTCGAGCTATAGCAGTTCGTGGGAGCTACGCGATGTCGGTCCAACCTTTCTTTGCCGAGTGTCATGTGAGTATCGAGTTGTAATTGTAAAAGATCGGTCCAGAAGCGCTTACCGAAGCGCGGTCTAACAGAGCGAATCCAGCACTTCGATCAAATGCGCGTGTCCCTTCCGAGTGTGAACAGGTATTTGCGTGGCTCTTGCTGACACTCTCGTAGTTCAAACGTATCTTTTTTAACGTCGGCTCGCAGCTCGCGACTCACAGCAACTAATACCGGCCGTGCCAGAAGCATACTCGGGTCGTGTCGTGCAAAGAGCCGCAACGAGAACGAGCTCACTGTGGCCAACTACGCTTTGGCTTTCTCCGCCAAGGCTTTGCAAACGTGTTCAGGCCTAGGCTAATCCTTCCGGCACGCCATATTGCCGCAGAACGGCGCTGCTCCTATGCCACAAGTAATGTCACGAGAACTTTCCCACCATCCACCAGATGTGAATTTGAAATCGTTTAATAAGGTTTAAAATTAGTTCTCCCGTGCTTTACAGCGCGATATTGATATTTCCGAGGTGGTGCCTGTCCCTAGCCCATATTTATGCAGAAAGATCGGCGCTAATATTTCGTTTCCGTACTCCTTTAAAACGGCACCAAAAAGAGGGAACCGCTTCCTTGTTTCTGCAGAAAACGTGGGCGACCCCCGAAACGCATGGCGTCTATACGCCCGTTTCCGTTGACGCCGCAGCCTCCGCACTCCACCTATTCTTGCCCCCCCCCCCCCCCCTCTCCGTCACTTCCATAAAAAAAAAGTTCCTGGCTACGCCACTGGTACGACCGTAAATCAATGTTTTGAATATGCACTCGCGCAAACACCAGTAATTCTGGCGTTTGCGATGAAATTTGATTGTCCACACCATGTGTTCGTCCAAGCCACACACGGTTGTCGCGGAACGCTCGACGCCTCCAAACCAAACTTGCGCCCATTTTGTTACTCGAAAGATGTAATGAATTATAGTTACGAATTACCGGGCCTCAGATGCAATAGATTACCGTTACAAAATACTTTCGCTGAAAAGTAACGGATTACTTTACTCGTTACGTTACAAATTATTTTCACGTTACGTTTCTCGTACAGATATCAAGAAGGCAAAGGACAGAATTTTGATGTTTTAAACAACGTTCCACTACTACTATCCGTTTCTCAAACGCCCACATTATTGTAGTCATTGTAAATATGAATTATTTAAGAGAAATAATGTAGGTGCACTCCGTTCACCGCAAAGCTGACGGCTGTGTTCCAAATTTTACCCAAATGAACCCGAGTTACTCCGGCGGGTCGTGTCACGTGACAACACAAATTGAAGAATGCTGGACGCGGGTAGTTTTTGGAACGCCAAGGTGCAAAACTCTTACTTTGGAGTAAGATCGAGTAAATTTTGGAACACGGCCGACGAGGCAACGAAAACTGCAACCGCACCCGCCATCTTACGGCGACCGGAAGTAATCCCTGGAATTCCGCAGACCAAGCAAGGGGTGCGCATGCTCAGTAGCTGCGTCTACCTCCGCCAGGAGAATATGAAGACAACTCGGCGTTCTCTTCTTGATTTTTGTATTTCGAAAATTCGCGTGCCTTGGATGTATTTCTAGTAATTCTAATAACTAATTATATAAAAAGAGTTTTTTTTGCTAATTTTCTTTTGCACGATGTTGTCTATTTTGTTGAGCTTGCTATCTTTATGCGGCTGAATTGCCTGCTCATTTTGCTCCAGTTTCTCTACTAGGTTCTTATTTCTACAAAGTAACGCGTAATTAAAGTAATCCGTTAAAAATATTGTGTAAAGAAATTAAATTACAAATTACTGCCGCAAAAAGTAAGGCGGCAATTAGAAAATTACATTAAAAATGACCGCACCTCCATGTGGTAATTGATGTTGATTGGGGCCAACGTGGTAGAGGGGCTTAGAGCGATAAACCGGGGTTCCGGTTTGCACTCAAAAGTGACCCCCATAAGGCCGCTGCCATTGTACGCCAATTTGACCACTCGTCACGCGACCAAACCAAATACGTGACGTCACAGGAAAGATGGCAGCGCCCAGGCAGCGGCTAGACCCAGCTGGGCCGGAGATTGTCGGATGATTTGTTCGTTGTCAGTCACCTCGGCGAGTTGATTTCAGGGAGCGGAAGCCGTCATATGAGGCCGGTCGAAAGCGACTACAGAGCTCAGCGTTATGTCTCACGTTGGTATAACGAGAAAACATAAAGGAAACGACGGGGATATTGCCACGAAAGAGACAATCGGCCCTCCGTTGCTCGGACCTCGGATTGATTCGGATACCGCTAGGACAAATTTTAAGGCGACGTTTCTGCGCTCTCGCTGACCATCGGAATCGTCGAGGTCTGCAGTAAAGCGTGTGCAATATATTTGGATACACAGTTTAGCGACGGAAATTGCGTCAGTCGTGCTTGGCAGTGTGCAATCGTGGTGCCGCTTCGTTCAAATGACCGAAGGCTCACTTTGGTTGTGCGATGCACCGGAGAGCTGTCTTCAAGCTGGTAGTTCCTGTGCCGTGCTTTAGGGGATGCTGTACTGCTTCCTAAATTGTTCTGTTGTAGGCCTGCACTTTTACGGAGCACATGTGTAGCAGTTGGTATTGATTCCGCTGGTCTGTCGCACGTTTCGTAGACACAAAAGTTTCATCAACACTCGTTACGCGAATTGCAAGCTGTATGGGCGTTTCATTGTGCGTGTTACCTGTTCAGTCCACCCGTTCACGCCGCTTTGCGACGACAGTCTGCAGCGGCTCATTACAAGAAAAGTGGTCCCACATTCATTTCAGTTCAGCTCGTCCACGGCAGCTGCCAAACCCCGAAGGAGAGGATTTATTCGAACAGAATGCCACTAAAGCAATGCAGCTTCTTTAGTGGTCAAGATAGGCTCCCTTCTGTGTGTTCTGTTATATTGTCACGGATGCTTGCTCCAGCCCTATTTTCTATCAATATTTACTATTCTGGAAAGTTCCAGGCCATGTTCAGCTCTCATCGTATGTTCTGGTGGAGGTGCTGCGCACTTTACCCATAGCCCTTCATTCTGTGTGGACCCTGGCGGCTCCTCAGCCGAGTTGCCCGATAACAAGACACGGGTGGCAGATTATCCCGCGTATTAAAACACCAGCGAGCAGTGAACCAAGTCCTATCCCGAGCCTGGCACAAGAACCGCAAGACGAGCGAGTACCATCAGGACGAAGCTCGGAAAGACACCACGAAGAACCTGAAATCCAAGCCAGTCGCTGCTACCAGCAAGAACCACCGGAATTGTCTTTTGCCAGAATAACCGAAGCTGACAAAGCCAACAATGACATACCTGTATCAGCAAACCGCGTCCGCTTCCACCATTGTTTGCATGCCCGTCGCACCTCGCACTCCGACGCCATTTCACACAAGGTGTATGAAGACGTCGAGGGCTGGGTTGAATAACATGACCGTGTCGCCCGCCACAGTGGGTAGATGGACAACCAGCTGCTGCAGAATTGATACTTCTTGTGGAAGAAACCGCCAGGCACTGGTTTGAGAACCACGAATCCTCCTGAACGTCGTGGGAAAATTGCAAGATCGAGCTTAAGTGCACATTCATAAGCCAACATTGACGAGAGAGAGCGGAATTCCTGATTCTGTCCAGGACATGGCCCCAACGAGTGCGGCACCGCCTTCGTGAACGATGTTTTGCGCCTGATCGAGCACCCACGCCAACCCTGATGCTACAGAAGACAAGAAGCTAAGAATCCCATGTCCATCATGGGAGGAACAACAGCTTCGTCAGCCTTTTTATTTCATTTATTGGTATTCTCAGGGCCCGAAGGCATTACAGAGGGGGTGGGATTATTACGCACAAGTTAACAGAACACTCAAATCACAAATCAATCTTGTCCGCAACCCCACGACAACAATCAAGGATTCATATCACCGAGGCTTCCAACGTTGAATGTACACTGCAGGCCCCAGCCTGTCACTGTCAACAACTTCCCGGCGTCTCGACAGTCAAGTCGTCCAGCTGCAATTTCGACGCCAGCCCCCCAGGTATCCGCGACATCATTCACAACGGTGTCCGGGAGGAGATAAGGAAGCTAGTTTCTGCCATCAATTGCCCGGCTTTTATTTTGATTGCCTAGATTGTTTGGGAACAAGTTCGACAGGCATTTCAACTGGAGACTTCTTCGAGCAAACCGGCATCTGACGAATCGAGGGCGACTTATGCCACAAGTCACAACGACCAGTACCTGCTACCTGTTACTATTCAATGCTAATTCAACGAGACACCTCAACGCCGAAGCATTCCCGACATCGGGAAGAACCAGTGTAGGTCCGCGCTGAACAAAGTACACCGAGGAAAACGGAGGTGCCGCGAATGGTCGACCGAAAACCACTGTGCTACCACTGCATTAGGCCGACCATGTCTACTGGAGGTGCCCATACCAATGAATTGGCCTGCAAGGATTCGTGCTGAACGACCCTCGACCACGTCTCGACGAGCATCCGCGAAAGGTTGAAGATTATCTTCGGTGGTCTTTGTCCCTGGTGCCGACATTACTCCGAAGCTCGTGACCCCCTTCATCTGGAAGGGAGGTAAGCACGACAGAGCAGGTGAGCTGCAATGCAAGGACAGTTGGTTTGGTGTCGGTTGTCGTTCAAGGACAATACCTAACAATTTGTTGACACCAATTATCTGTGTCCACACAACGAAGCACACAATTACCAACTTTGAGGGATAATACCGCTGAGTGACTTGAAGAAATAGAATGGTTGGTTGCTCTCAAAAAGACTGCAAGCATCACCAGACTTCACTTCACCACACGAGACTTACACAAGTTGCAGTGGTCGCGGGATGCAGAATAAATCGCCATTACGAAATGGAAGTGAAATGGCTTGTTTAGCAAACAAACATTGTTGCCAGCTATCAAGTCAACGGTACAGCAAAAGGCACAGCCACGTAAGCAATACATGCCCGAGCTTGCTGCATTAATGCAGGAAACTACCAGGAAAATTTGCGGCTTAGAAGCCAGCCCTGCAGCTTCAGTGCATCAGATGTCAGTGGCCGCACATGACGTATGTATTACGAGACGGCATCAGTGGGTCAAAGTTGCCATTCGACCAAACTGAACACCGACGTGACAGGAGCGTCACCCGCGGGCTGATTAGCTCACTCGGAAGGGAGACGTTACGGCAGCGAAATCATAGACTGTCAGACTCTACTCATATATTGCTCTGCTGCAATGGAAAGATTTTCCTACCCTCGTGCTCAGCGAGTGTCGACTGGCGATACAACTCCAGTTCATACACTCGATGAACATGAGGGTAGAGTGTACCAGCAGAGGGAAGGTGTCTGGATAAAAAGAGTTTAGTTGGCGCATTAAGAGGCTAACGAATAAAAATGGGTACTACTCCAAGCAAAATGCCAAAAAAGCGTGGATCTAGGCTTGACACTAAAAGCGTCACACAGTATCTATTTTACTGACAAAGGGGTACTAAACCATTATTTTCAGCTACCTAATCAAACTAAATATTTTTGCCGGCTTGCTTTTTAGTGAAATCTCTAAATTTACAAGAACTTTTAAAACAACGGCTAAAAAAAAAGCAATGGCAAAACCAACAATCGAATTCGTCTGCTCTCCAGTAGCACGACATCTATGGCAGGCAGACCTGCAGAATGAGCAAGCAGTTTAAAAAACAGAGTATATCCTATATATAATTTTTTTTTCATGCTGCAGAGCAAGTGCTGGAAGGGGGTTTCACGACATTAACGAAATTTCTTGCAATCAGTTGAGAACAAGTTAGAGCAGTGAACTTGACCTTGCCCCTGGCATAACGTTTTAGTGTTGCCCATGGAAACTCACATAAATTTGTAAATAAAAACTAAAAAGACTAAGCTTCATAAAAAAATCTAACTTTGGCAAAGAAAAGTTACCTTGAACAAAATATGTGCGATTCAGTTGTACAGCATCCATTTGTGTGCTTAACCAATTTTGAGGCAAATCGGCGAAAATGAAAAGAAGACGTTTGAGTACAATTAAGGGAAAGACAGCAAGGATGCATACCTACAACAAAAAAAATGTAGAACGACCGCGGGCAGGAAACGCTGGTGAGGCTCTCGGAGCGACTCCCTGCAATGGGCCTGCGCAGACCACAGAACAAGATGGGTCAGAGCTTGCAGCCATGAGGTGCTTCATACCATGAAGTTACAAAAGCGGGTGCAATTGGAAGCAAAGTGCATTTCATTTCTCTGCAGAACAAAGAGTTTAATAGCTAGTATGCATTCATAAGGTAATACAGTCATGAATGCACAGACTTTTCAATGCAGCACTAAATCACCAACTTGTTAACCATGGCGGGGAGCACTAAAAACCGAGAGCATTATTCCAAACTATCTCAGCTTAAAGTTAACCACGACAGAACCTTCAAGCCATCCTTGCAAATTCAGAGCACAAAGCAAGCAATGTGACCTTCTAGTTTTACGGCATGGTACGTCGAGCTTATAATCATGTGTCATGCTGTTTTTGCTGCAATGGCTTGTAGTGGTCAAAAGTAATCCAGCCTAAAGAGACGCAAAGTATAGACGTTTGTGAGTGGGGCCCTCACCTAGTCTGCAGCTACATTGCGAAATAGGACGTTCCAACAGGAATGTTTGCTGCCTGTAACCAGCAGAGCTGGCAGTAATGTAATTACTGTAATGAAATTACAGTAATTTAATTACTTGTTCCAGTAATTAGTAATGTAATTCATTACTTTTTGTAGCAGGTAATTTAGTAATGTAATGAATTACTCCAGCGACGGTAATTGTAATTAAATTACCTAATTACTTTTTCGCACCAGGCATATTTTTGTGTTCACAATACACAAGAGAGCTTTTCTTTTTATTTTACTTTTTCTTTTTCCTCTACACCTTTCCAAAAAAACGCTCTTTGGCCGCCGCTATGTTGCTGATGCTAATGCGGCTTTATTCTTTATTCATCATTTTCCTGCAGCGCCATCAGGCATTATCGCAGGGGGCGAATAAACTCTGAAAAAACATTTCTGAATTCGCGGCACACGCAACCGCACTGGGCAAGGCATTTCACTCCTTAATTGTTTTAACAAAAAAAAAAAAAAGAATTTTTGTGACTCTCGCGCCCGCTATCAGCAAGACACTTTCTGCCACTCTCTTGAACTATGAAAACCCGCTCAGCGCGATTCTCTACCTTTGTTTGGCGGTTTTGCATTCGACGTTTTCTGGCCCCTCTTGAAAGTTTCCGCTTACTTTTTCTGATGCATACTGCGTACCCTCTCTGTGTTATCTTCCACTGTGAGAAATAGGGCTGGTAAGTGCCTGTCATTCGAGCTTTTCTGCTCGACATTCTTGGGAAACGAAGGAGGGGAAGTATATCGAACTAAGGCCCCTGGTGGAACGGCCCTCGACGCGATTTTGCGAACAATGACAATTGTTCTCCCCCCTCCCAGAGATAATCCGCGTAGGGTCCTCAGTCATTTCCAAAAATAGTTGTCCGGGTTGAGGTGGGAAACGGATAAGTCGCGTGCGTTCCTCTGTCCATCGGTAAACATGCAACAGAGAGTTCTAGCTGCGTGCCATGAACTGTGTAAATAATGTAAATAAAGTTATCTGTAAAAGGAAGTTATCAATAGCTCCTTTATATTTAAAAGTATACAAAAGTAATGCGAAAGTAATGTCATTACTTTTAAGAGTAATTTGTAATGGTAATTAATTACTTTCTGGCTTTGGTAATTTGTAATGTAATTTAATTACATTTCAGCAATTTTCAGTAAAGTAATTAGTAATGTAATTTAATTACAAAATATCAGTAATTTGGCCAGCTCTGGTAACCAGGCGACCAGCTAGTGCCCAGCAATTCTTCGAGCTGAGTACATGTCCTCGAAACTACCATTATTTGACACGCATTTTTATGAATGTTAAACATGACTGACTTACAGAGAGACTCCACCTCAGCGACTAATGATTTGGGATACCTAATTGAATACTGATATATTAACGAAATGCAAAACAATTACCTGGCAGGCATTAAATTATTCAAGAGGCTGGGTCGAGCCCGCATTAAGTTGAAGGAGTCGATGCCTAATAGGACAATACAAACAAAATTATGCCTTAGAATTCCATTGCACCCCCAAAATGATGTGTTTTTGAAGGTAAGGTACACAATGTTCGTGATTCAGAAAGTGCCTCAGCTGTACAAATGCATATGCAATAAGGGCCACGCCTATTCTACTCAGCTCTGTGCAGGTTAAGCTAAGTTAGAGTATAGAAGTACACGCTCACTGACACCATGACAAAGGCAGGGAGAAGTCTCCGTTGTTCGACCTCCAGCCCGTCTGCTGCCTTCGATGACGTTTCAGCGTCTGATGAGCCTGGAGCGAGCACATCTGTCCAAAGCGGAGTGAAAAGCACAAGCACGTGCTGGAGGACGCCCAACCATTCTCTTTTTGTCATCGGCTATACTACATATTTTTAGTAAGACATATTTTTAAGTGAGAATAAGTATTGCAAATATGCAGTCCACCTTAAAGGTAACAACAGTTGCCATTCACCATTTTCCAAATAAGTGCTCCCGCCTATCGGAACATCTACACGTGTGGTGCGTGAGTGGCTTCAGGACTGAGAGGCTAGAAAACGAAGCGCTCACAAGGCTTGTCTGGCCCTTCCAACCATGTGGGTAAATTCGTCGCAAATCCGCGATTTCTAGACAAAATGATTTAGAATGAGCAAATTTTGTCTACGCCCGAGGTAGAACATTGAATTGTGATTCCCCCATATTGTGCGAACCATCCTTCAAACAGCGGTACCACCTGCAAATAAACTATGTTGTGGTGCGGCACGCGTCCATGCTGCCTGTTTCAGAGGAAAACCACTGCTCGTGTTAAAGACGACATCCCACAATGTACAGGCAACAATGTTTAACAAACTAAAATAAAATTGATAACATTCAATAAACACAGATAGGCTCACAAAGTGTCGACACCATGATTGTTGTTGTTGGTTTTACTCTTGCATACAAAGAAAAGTGACTTCCTCTTTCCTCCGATGTACAGTAAAATCCCCTTATCTTCGTGGCCCCTATTTCTTCTCGAATTGGTCACAGAGGACATAATCGCAGCCACTGAATTCCGCAAAATTACAGGCTGCGAAAACGAAAGGTTCGCCAACATTAAGGGGCTTACTGTTCTTCCGTGTGTCACATGATGTTAACATTTCAAGGAGGCTGAAGGTATTGGTTTAACAAAAAATTGACCTATGAAAAAAAATGCCCTTCTCCAGGTTAGGCACGCGAGGTTGTTTTGCACTACCTATAAGGTGGCAAGTTTGTTTCGGCAGAGCTTTTGGTAAAACGGAGTCACAAAAGTAGCTATACTTGGCGTCAACTATTTTGTGCTGCATTATAAAGCTAGAGTAGATTCCACAGTGCTTCAGCACAACACTGTTTGTTGCGAGAGCATTTGTGGTTTAGTGTTGCATCCCATTTGCATGATCTAGAGAAACTAGCGCTGACAGCGTTGGAGCACCTCAAATGATAACAGCCGACTGTAGAAGCATTGAGAGATGCACACACGTGAACTGTGCATTTCTTAAAAGTGGATTCGAGCAAAGGTAAAAACAATAAGTATACTTACGGCGGCCGTACTTGCTTTTCCGAAGCACGACCACTTTTCCCTAGGTAGCACCATCCAATAAGAAGCACCAGCAACACGCCCATGAGACGCCGCCGACTCCTGGATTGAATGACGGCCCGCCTGAGGTCTTCGAAGGAGATCCGAAACACTGCTTTTAGCGCGAAACACATGTACGACGAAACCTTCCGATCCGACGTGCGGACTGCCGGAATCATCTTGGGGGGCGAGGGTTTTCGTAGCATCGGAGAGCGTTGAAAACCCTCGCCTGCGACCGTCGTATTGCGTGGTCGGACGTCGGAACGGACAGTTTCGTCGTACATGTGTTTCGCGCCTTAGGCCAGATGTTGTATCTGGTGGGGCAGGGACTAAAAGTAAAAATTAACAAATTTATCTGATGCGCTACATTCCTATAGGATAGCAGTATTTTTTTAGGCCAGTGATGCTTTTTAATTAAACACAAATAGTTGGTTTATACGTTGAACCAGCAGCCCCTATTTTGCTTAAGTGTAACGCAGTGTCTAACGTTACGTCCGACGGAACCCGAAATAAAGATTATTTACGACCAACGTAACTGTCAAGCATACAAATTTCGTCCGACGTAACCCAAAATAAAAATTAAAGTTAGTCAGCCGTGCGACGGGACACACATTATGAAAGCGATTGGTGCGAGCGACCAAGGCGATGAGCGACGTTTTCTAGAAGCCCAAGAACTGAGCGGCGCAAGCAGCGAGAGTGAGAAATCTTCGTCGCTCGGCGCCGGCACTCGTAGCTTCTCGCCGCCGCTCGTCTCGTTGATCGCTATATTGCTTACATGCCGTTCAGAAAGGCGCGCTCTAAGTGCTTATCATTGCATTGGGACCAGCCTTGCATCCAACCGTAACCAGTCTTGACTTTTTTTAAAGCCGCCCAGGTAGAAGTCAGCATCGAGTACATACATCGTTTTCAAGCATGGCTCCTCGTTCATTGCTCGATTTACATTTTCGGTAAATGACAAACCGCAATGAAGCACAATTATTCTAGTTCAAAATTGTCACAACACTTGGCACGCATGCTTACACTGTAGCGCACCTAACGTACTTTAAAAGTAGAACGAAAACGGGACGAGATTCGCTTACCGCTTCACGGAGACAGCCGCCTTCGGATCCTAGGCCTCACGGCCGAACTTGGAAGTCGCCTGCGGTACGGCGATCGGACGAGTCGAGCCGGCCTGACCCAGGCTGACCACGCCTGGTTTAACTATGAGAGGCGTCGTCGAGTTGAGAGCCAGAGACGTAGTAGAAACGGACCGTAAAACATCTGTCCCGTAAAACGCAGAACGAGCCAGCGACGCCAAAACCGCTACGTCGCCATCTCCTTGACGACCGGAAGCGTGGAAGCCGGGAAGTTAGAAAAGGCTCCGGAGCGGACGCCACTGGCGGACGTTTCGGTTTCGATTTTCTCCGACGCCGGCTACGGCTGCG